ACAAAATGTACGGAGAAATCTAAGCATTGAATTACTGCTTTAGGATACGTACTAACGTCAAAAAACTGAACAAAACCCTCCCCCCACCCTCTACCGCCTTCTGCCACCCCCAACCCCCAATTTTTGACCCCTACAAAAATTTTAAAAATCAGGAACCTCTGAAACGTCCAAAAACGAAGTTTGAGCGATTTTAATTTTTTTTGTTTTTTGCTTCTAGCACCGCCGCCACTGGATAACTATTCAAAAACTATAAAGGTTTTCCGTCCTTGACATAATAGTAACCTTGTGTCTTGTAATAATTTGGAAATTTAAACAGAAAATTTGGATTTTTTTTTTTAGAATCTGAATATATCTGAAATTATTCTGTTTTACTTCCCTCGCCAACTGGCGGGAAAGTATTGTAATCGCGAAAAAAATCGAAATTGAGATGTTATGTTTTTTGGATATCACATGACATGTACATCACGAAAAACCATGTCACTCATTTCCGTCAGTCTGTCTGTCTGTCTGTCCGCTAATCCTATAAGCCCGTATAAGTTGGAAAGTACCAGTCGGATTTTGATGAAATTTTTACACAAGGTTACTATTATGCCAAGGACGTAAAAGCTTTATACTTTTTGAAAATCGATCCAGTGGCGGCGGTGCTAGAGGTAAAAAACGAAAAAAAAAAATAAAAAAGCTCAAATTTCGTTTCTGGACGTTTCAGACGTCCCTGATCATTTTTGGAATTTTTTTGTAGGGGTTGAAAATTGGGAGTTGGGGGCAGCAGGGGGCGGGGGCGGGTATGATTCAATTTTTGGACGCTATTATTTTTATACGTATCCTAACACAGTAATTCACTGCTACAATTAGGATTTATTTCGCAATCAGATTTCTCCGTACATTTATTCAAAAAATTTCAGATATTTTCAGATTCTAAAAAAAAAATCCATATTTTCTGTTTAAATTTTGAAATTATTACAAGACACAAGGTTACTATTATGTCAAGGACAAAAAACATTTATAGTTTTTGAAAAGTTATCCAGTGGCGGCGGTGCTAGAGGCAAAAAACGTAAAAAAATCAAAATCGCTCAAACTTCGTTTTTGGACGTTTCAGAGGCTCCTGATTTTTGATATTTTTTTGTAGGGGTCTAAAATTGGGGGTTGGGGGTGGTAGAAGGCGGTAGAAGGTGGGGGGAGGGTTTTATTCAGTTTTTTGACGTTAGTACGTATCCTAAAGCAGTAATTCAACGCAGCTATTTGTATATATTCCACACTTAGATTTCTCCGTACATTTGTTAGAAAGACAATATTTCAGTTCCTAAATTTCCAAGGTCTTTAATCTTGGCGTTGCGAGGGAAGTGCCAAATCAATTTACTTGACGCCATTTTTTCGAACAAATGTACGGAGAAATCTCATTGCGAAATATATCCTAATTGTAGCGGTGAATTACTGTGTTAGGATACCTTTAAAATAAAAGCGTCAAAAAATTGAATCATACCCGCCCCCGCCCCCCTACTGCCCCAACCCCCAATTTTCAACCCCTACAAAAAAAATTCAAAAATGATCAGTGACGTCTGAAACGTCCAGAAACGAGATTTGAGCTTTTTTTATTTATTTTTTTCGTTTTTTACCTCCAGCACCGCCGCCACTGGATCGATTTCAAAAATTATAAAGCTTTTACGTCCTTGGCATAATAGTAACCTTGTGTAAAAATTTCTTCAAAATCCGACTGGTACTTTCCAACTTATACGGGCTTATAGGATTAGCAGACAGACAGACAGACAGACAGACAGACAGAGCGACAGACAGACAGAGCGACAGACAGACAGACTGACGGAAATGAGTGACATGGTTTTTCGTGATGTACATGTCATGTGACCTCCAAAAAACATAACATCTCAATTTCGATTTTGTTCGCGATTACAATACTTCCCCGCCGATTTTTTTCGGAAATTCATTTTTAATGCAGATATATCGGGAGGCTCCTTTTAAATGGAACGCACTGTAAATATACTTCTATCTGTATTTTAATTGGAAAAATGAAATAAAAATTTCTGCTACTTACAGTGGAAACGATATCCGATCTCATAATTTCTTCCACTGCAGCGTTATTTTGTTCTTCTTTCTTTTTAACTTCCTTTTTTTCTAACTCTTTTTCATTATTTTTCTCTATTGTCAATACATCCTAGAATATGTTTATGAATACAATAGTTAAAAAACTGAATTATCTTCAAGAGTTATAATGAAGTAGAAAAAAGTCAAACCTCAGTTTTTTGAAGATCGAAAAATGTCGTTTGCTTATCTTTAACTTCTGGTTTAAATGTGGGATCCTTCATCGAGTCATCGGAATCGAAATCGAGGAACGACATATCACCAGAAATCGATGGAGCGGGACTACTTTCATATTCATATTCATCTTCTGGAAAATCATTAAATCGAAAATAAAATTATTCAAAACCATAACCTAACAAATATATTTCCATTAAACGACTCCAGACTATTGTTTGAATTAACTAAATAATACATTAAAAATGTGATTTTTTTTTGAATTTTTCATAAATCAATAAATTAAGTTAGTATTCAATTTGATCACCTAATTCAATAGACATGGAATAAATAATCACCTTTATCCTCTTTTTTCCTTGTATTATCTAAGCTGTTTAGAATTTTTCTAGCTCTGTATGTTGGGCTATAATAAAATGCAGAATTATTATATTATTTCTTAAACTAAAATCATTATCACTTACATATTCATTTTTGTATTGTGGAACTGGAGACCGAAACAAAAGCCAATACACACACACACACTCTGAGCACGTTAACTAGACTAACACGACACCGAAGATCTGAAACTATTTAAGCATTGTCAAATAATATTTTCAGGATTCTAAAAATAGCTCAAGGTCAGCAATTTTTACTATTAAAGAACCGGCAACGCCGCGGGAGGCTGATTAGTCAACCAACATAGCAAACTATATACAAACGGAGGTATATTAGCAAATAAGTGGTCGGAGGCATCTTACATTTAAAAGTATAGCGAAAATCTGTATAATTTAAAAAAGACATATTTTTACCCCTCTCAGGGGGAAATGAGAAAAACAATGGACGGGAATCTTTCTGTAACCAATATACACTGAGATATGTAGTATTTCAGCCGGAGGCCAGGGTGCCTGTTTCGTATGTGGAGGCGAGAAGGTTAGCTGTGCATGTATATATATATATATAGGTGAAAAATTAAAGCTTCCGCCTTTTGTTGGGTACTTCGACAAAATTTAAGCAAAGAGGACTCTTTATACTTGTTTAATTCTCTCTAGCTTTCAATGGACTTTGCCATCATCATCAGGAGCTGCAATTACAATGATAACAGTAGCAACAAAAGTGTAAAATGAATTTAAATTGAATCAACTTACAGTAGTATGTGAGGATGTTGCTAATTGTTGTTTTCGTATAGGATGAGGGAAACGTCGAGTAACATGGTGAGAGCTGGATACATGGTACAATGGTTAAAATTATATAAAATATGACAAGACAAGTTAAAGACAGATTAAAAATTATTTAGAAAACATTAGAGCATTACGTCGTGAAGCCACTTGATGATTGCACAAAATGGTGGTCATGGAATAATGAGTGAGATGAACCTTTGACAGAAGACCGAAGGTTGTCAATGTCTGTGTTGAAAGATGGAACGAATTGTGGGCGTGTGCCAAAACGTTGCCAAATCACTTCAGATTATGTGATTTTTCAGAATGTTATGTAAGAAATTGTTAAACCGACCAGAGGCAGTTGAATAAACTATATTTTAATTAATGGGAATTTTAAATTAACAATTAATAATAAATCGTGAGAAGAGAATTATTAGATTTTGAGTGGAATGAAATTTGTTGGTGGAATCGGCCAAAACACAGATTATATTTATGGTTGTGAAAAGTCGAAATTTGGAGAGATATGTAAGTTCTCTAATTTTTCGCAGTTTAGCAAATATGAGTAAATGACACTCAGTTGTTTAATATCTGTCTTTTTGTTGATACAGTTGTTATTCATGAAAATGTGGGACATTTCCAGGAATAAACGTTTGGAAAGGTGTTTTTCTTTATCAAGAACTTTGATACTTGTGTAATTCATAGAATGCCATGTTGTGTTAACATGAGATGCTAGAGCGCATCTTTCAGGATGAAGCCTAGCATCACTTTTGTGTGATGTAATCCTTCCTTTAAGAGATCTGGAGGTCTGACCTATGTATATTTGGTTGCAGTTGTTGCAATTGATGGAGTAGACTATGTTAGTTAAGCTAAGCAGCGGGACTTTGTCTTTCATTTTTGAAAAAATGCGGTTTATAGTGAGGACGGATTTGCAAGCAATTACACTTTTGTTGCTACTGTTATCATTGTAATTGCAGCTCCTGATGATGATGGCAAAGTCCATTGAAAGCTAGAGAGAATTAAAAAAGTATAAAGAGTCCTCTTTGCTTAAATTTTGTCGAAGTACCCAACAAAAGGCGGAAGCATTAATTTTTCACCTAACTGGTTTAGACGACAATGACCTCGTCTCAAGTTATATATATATATATATACATAAGTGAAAAAATAAAGCTTCTGCCTTTTGTTGGGTACTTCGACAAAATTCAAGCACAGGGGACTCTTTATACTTTATTAATATCTAACTTTCAATCGACTTTGCCATCTTCATCAGGAGCTGCAATAACATTGAGAAGAAATAGCAACTATTGTGCAAAATGATTATAAACTAACTTACAGACGTATGTGAGATTGTTGATACTGTAAGTTAATTTATAATCATTTTGCACAATAGTTGCTATTTCTTCTCAATGTTATTGCAGCTCCTGATGAAGATGGCAAAGTCCATTGAAAGCTAGAGATTAATAAAGTATAAAGAGTCCTCTTTGTTTGAATTTTGTCAATGTACCCAACCTAACTGGTCTAAACGAGAATGACCATCAAGTTATATATATATAGTATTTATTTCATTGCATGATTGTATTTGTTATATGTAATGTATATGTTTAAACAAAAGCGCCACTTTTCCGTATATATTGGCTTTTTACCATCCATCGTATCTAATCAAATCGTATATACAACTAAACATTTTATTAAGACAATAGTAGTATTGAAAAATATGTTACTACATCTTATCACCTACCACAGCAAGATGTTTTGCAATGCTGGAATTCCCCTTTTCCATATGAGCAAGCCTTGCATCCAAAAATAAACACTAGTATAATTGTTTATTGAATTCTATAAACTATACGCAGTAAAGGTCATTCGTTTAAATAATATTCTGTTAGCTCTTGCTTCAGTCGAAATTTAAACTATTAAAACAATTTTTGCACGAGCAGTGAGCTTAAAATGGTTACACCATGTTTCCCTTCTTTTTTGTTATTGCTTTCTATTTCAAAAATGGTATATTCAACATCACCTGGTAAGTGTAAAAGGGTGTTAAATCAAAAGCATTTTGAATGTGATTTGAATATCGTTCAAATAGTTTTTAATCTATTTCACCTATTACAATATTGATTACAGATTGGCCAGAAGTTTGTGAAGGTATCAAAATGAGAAAAGACTGGGGAGGGAGAATTCCCGTAGCAGTAGATTATGCTATAGTTCCTGTAAAGTACGTTATAGTACATCACACTGTCACTCCTGAGTGTGAAACTGAATCTAGTTGTGCTATTACTATAAGGGGTATTCAAGACTTCCATATGGACACTTTGGAGTTCCATGATGTTGGATATAAGTAAGAAAAACAATTATCTACCTAACATTTAAAGACGTCAAGTTGGTTACGTAAACCTTTGGATCAGATTTTCAAAATTCGACAAAAAGTAATCGCGAAATTTATTTCGAAAATAAGAAATTGTCTTTTGGATGTTATGTGACATGAACATCATGAAAAACCATCTCACTCATTTCCGTTGGTCTGCCTTGTCTGTCGGTTTGTACTGTGACTTTTAGATCAATCCGTTAGGCACACGTTTTTTGAATAACTAGTATTTAATTGACTAGAGTTGATTTGTATCATTTCGAAAAATAAACTCTCATTTCGACAAGACATTTCACATAATTTCCGTATTTCCTTTCTATTAAGAGAATTATCTGAATGGTCATCAAAGTAAAATTTTCGAGTTTTCATTTTCGTCAGTCCGTGACATCTACTTTCACAAATCTTCACACTAAGAAATCCGATTAAACTAATTCGCGATTCCTCAAAACTAGATGAGAAAAATGTGCTAAATTTATCGCAGGCAAAGTTAATGTTGTATCTGTTGGCATTTACAAACAGTAGGTCATAAAATGTAGAAGAATGTCATGTGATTATAAGTCATAGAAAATCGATATAATGTCACTTTTTAAGTTACGTAATACCGCATGGGTATCATGTAAAAAACCTATAAAACGTCAAAAAAACATATAAGATGTCATCTTGCCAACTAGGTAATTTTTAGGGCGCAAGCAGTCATTCCACGTTTGCTCACTAGGATCGTTGTGAACGTCGATCTAAGGAGGAATCACTCAACTAAACTAAACGCATTATTGGTTGCATATGTTTTGTAAGGCCAAATGGTCCTTGTCTGCAGTTTTTATCTCTGAGAAGAAAGTTGGTTGAATAGCACGATCGCATCTGCATAATTTATGTGTATTGGTCTGAATGTGTATAAAATCAGTGATATTTGCTGTGTGAGAAAATCATTACTGAATATGCTGCCAATGAAGTATATCTGTTGGCTGTTCCCGACGGGTTATTTTTATATTGTGCTTTCTGAAGAGAGGTTATGTTCAAAGTTATAAATTACGAAAAACTGAGGAGAATTACGGGAAATCATCACCACGCCTGCGTTGTGTGCAATTACTGTTAGCAAAATATCGGTAAAATGTCAGCTAGCTCAAGGTTAACATTTTATAGGAAAACATACATAATGTCAAAAAACCTTCATAATATCCTGTACGTACAAAAAAATCATCTTTTCAGATGAAACTCATTTTCATCTCTGAAGCTATGTCAGTCATAATGGGTGCATGTTTGATAGTTCAGCTTGATGACGTCAATAGGCAGAAATGCACGTAGCTCGAGTTAAAAATCCTTCTATTTCTGCTCCTGTCCTTTATTGCGGACAGGCCTACGATTGCCCCTTGCTTTTCTTCTGTGTGAATAAACAAAACTGTAGGTTTTGGGGATCAGAAAAATCACACGTCGTCGAAGAGAGGCCAACCTATCCACGACTGGCGGTTTTTGGACCAGTGGCATCATTTGTCCATTTTTGTTCGAATGCCAATGCTGTTTCAGTCGAAATTGGATCAACATATTAATACAGCTTCAGTCATGATTGACTTCTCTTAGGCGTTCGACACAGTTAACCACAAAATTTTGTTGAGTAAGTAAAAGTATATTGGACTTTCTGACGTTTCTCTTAAGTTTTTTGAAACTCCCTTAACTAATCATAAACAAAAGGTAAAGACAGTTAGAGGTGTCTCATCTTCTGTGGCCGTTCCTTCAGGTGTCCTTTAGGGGTCTGTTTTAGGTTCTTTGCTGTATTTAAGATATGCTTTCGATTCACATTCATATATTGAACATTATGCGACACGAGTATTACGTATCTTGAAAAGTGACACTATGTCGATTTTTTTACATTGTATTGGTTTTTGTTTGTAACATTATGTAATATGTAGGTTCTTCTAAAAGATGTTATCTTAGCACTAGCGAACTCGTTTTGTAGTTGTACGTGTTGCCTAAGCGTCATGAGGCTTTAGTTATCAATCTGCTTCAGAGATGGCATTATCTCCTGGAGATCTAGAGATCCATTTTTGTCAGCTGACGAGGTGAAGCTGCGATGTGAACTCGTTAGACTATTTTTAGTGGGAGCCGTTGAGGATGAATGTTATGCTAATCATCCAGAAACAATTATTGAATTTGAAAATTTAAAAAAATATTTATTAGTTTCTTTTTTTAGCCGATTCAAACTTCGAAAAGTGACGCCAAAATACGTTTATGCGCATTGGATTCCGACCTGGAGAATAAGCCTGAAGAGGTTTCCCAGGTCTCTTTTTTGGAAATATTCAGAAATTACCCTTACTTAGGAGTAGAACTTAGCCCAAAATTTAATGCGTCTGAAGTTTCTGATCAAAGTTCAACACAAACATTATTGCCTATTATTGCCGTAAATGTTACGTCTTTAGTATTAGTCAAAGAATTTCTAGCATTAAGATCCCGGTAACAACGGGAAAATTGAATGATAAAAACATATTTTACCAATATTTGAATATTAGGATTACGTACCACTTTAGCGTTCTGCGTTGCTTTTGTAAAATATGACTTAACTGTTTTTATATCTACACATATATTTTTCTGAATTTAATGATCCTTAAATATACCACCCATATCGTCTGGCCTTTAATCTGAGTTACTCCGTGTACGATGGTTCTCTGAATATTTCGTCAAGTAGACTGACTCAGTACTTTTGACGCATTGATATACAACAGACAATTCAACATAAGTGAGAAACAAGAACTTGTGTGAGGCAGATATCTTTAAGCAATAGAAAAGTTGTAAACTAAAGTTCGAATATTGTTGCGAGCTTAATACTTCCATCGTTTAGGTAGTCGTAGATTTTTAAAAATGATTCAGAGGCGGCGGAACTACGGACAAAAAATAAAATCGCTGGAACGTAGCGTTACAACGTTTCAGAGATTCCTGCTCTTTTTCAGATATTGTTTGGAGGGGATGAAAATTGTAGGTTGGAAGATGTATGCAAATCGGCTGTACAGCCGAAATACACATGATTAAATGTACATATTTCAGCTCTTGAGCACAAGGTTAATAAGCTCTGATTTATGCAACATACATGGCTAAAACGGATACAGAGCGTTACGTAAGTTATCAGCAACATTTGGGGTAGCCTCCAGAAACATCCGACACCTCATTTATGCTGAATAACAATAAAACAGTATATATAATATACTAAGTGACATATAAATCCGAACACCCAGTTTAAATGGTTTTATTTTAATAAAAGTTGGTGGATGTATTTATCTTACTGTAAATAACAAGTGAAAAAATTTTCTTGACATCCTTTACGATCGGTTACGATGCCTAGAGTACGGAGACCTGTACGATTTCGTCAACTTAGTGAGTTTGATAGGGGCCGTATAGTGGGACTTCGGGAAGCTGGACTTTCTTTTCGGGCAGTTGCAGTTAGAGTGCAAAGAAGTGTAGACACTGTGGTTAGGTGTTGTCAGGCATGACTTCGAGAAGGCCGTACGCAAAGAGCAAGGGGCACTGGACGCCGCCGTAGAACAAGAGACCGTGAAGATCGCCGCCTAAGATTATTGGCCTTAAGGGACCGTTTCTCCACTACCAGGTCCATTGCAAATGAATGGTTTGCAGAACACGGAAGACCTATTGGCATGCGAAGTGTTTACTGACGAATGAGAAGTTTTGGCTTGTTTTCATACCGGCCACACTGGGTCCTCCCTTTAACTCGAGAACACCGACGTAATCGCCTTGAGTTGTACAGACAACGGTCACTCTGGGATCAGGAATGGAACAGTATTGTCTTTAGTGACGAGTCTCCATTTTGTTTAGGCATGCACGATGGTCGTGCCAGGGTTAGAAGGCGACGTGGTGAAAGGAGGAATCCACAGTTTTTTGTTGAAAGACATGTTCATCACATTGTTGGAGTTATGGTTTGGGGTGCTATAGCTTATGGTTTCAGGTCACCTTTAATCTTCATCAGAGGTAACATGAACGCGCAGCGTTATATCCACGAAGTTCTAGAACCCCATCTTTTACCCTATCTTGACACCCTGGCAGATCCAACTTTCCAACAAGATAATGCCCGACCACATGTTGCAAGAGTCACAATAGACTTCTTTCAACATAATGATGTCACATTGTTACCATGGCCACCAAGATCTCCCGACTTATCCCCAATTGAGCACGTGTGGGATATGATGGGTAGGAGATTGCTCAATTTGCAACGTCCTCCTCAGACTCTAGAAGCACTTCGAGAGGAGTTGGTGGTTGCCTGGAATGAGATACCACAGGAGGACATTGACCACCTGATCAGAAGCATGCCTAGGCGCGTTGGAGAATGCGTAGCACATCAGGGTGCATCCACACATTATTAAAGGTCAAAGGGCTTTAAAGCAGTGCAATCATTTTGAAATTTTTATCATTTACTTATTATGCATCATTAAGTACTTATACAAAATTTTATTAAAATAAAACCATTTAAACTGGGTGTTCGGATTTATATGTCACTTAGTATAGTTGTAAACTTTATTATATTTGGTGTCAGTGAAAGACCATCTATGGTTAAGAAGCTGCTGATCTCAGTGATACTATACACCTGTCACACATGTTTTTCCTACATCTGAAATGGAAACAAAAATATGATAAATTTGCTTGATATAGTTTGATATGCACAGGTCGAAGATTCCTCGTACCTAAGCGAACCTGTCTAATCAAGATTCAATTTCGCCTCTTGAAACGACTTAACTGATCCATTTTCTTTGAAAGCTTCAATGAAGGCGTAGGGAGTATAGACTCAATCTACTTGTCGCCATTTTGTAACTTCACCGTAAAGAAAATACACAAACATTTCCTTTATGGTCAAAATATGATTAAACTTTCAGTTTTCTTGTTGGCGGTGATGGAAATATCTACGAAGGAGCAAGTTGGCATAAAGTTGGTGCACATACAAGAGGCTATAATTCCAGATCGATGGGTTTGGCCTTCATAGGGAACTTTTCAAGTAAGTTATCCTGCGTGAGCCGTATTTGTAACTATTCTATCTACTCATCTCTCTACTGAATCAAAAACCTTTGAGATGACAAGTTGAAATTAATAGAGAGTTTTCCTGCTCTTGGTTTGCTGTTTCGTTGTGATCTTCCTTTCGATTTTGTACAGTAGTGAGACAGTCCTGCGATATCCGTTATCGAAATAAGAAAATTCAAACGAAATATTCCTTAATCAGCCCTGTTGCCGAAATTTGTAAAGCTGACTAAGAGCTTAATTGAAATAATTTCAAGTAAATAAAAATAGATTGTTTACAATATAATAGAAATATGAATTGTTAATAAATTGAGTTGTATCGATTATTGTTATATATGCATTGTTACATGGTAGCCTTTTATTGTAGTTCTGCTTGCTTTGTGGTCACCTCTTCTGTGCTTCTATGATCCTAAGCCTATATTCATTTCTTTTCCGGTTTGGACACAAATACGAGGGATGTCTTTTAAGTTTTGCATATAGAAACATAGTAGGCCGCGCGGATCGAACGTCAGAACTGAATCTTAACCTCACTCTTTAGTAAACTTAAATTCAAAGTTTCGCAACAATACGTGAGGTGTTCTCACTACAGTGAATTTTTAAGTATCACGAAGTCATTAGAAAAATGGAAATCAACCGAGAACATTTTCGCGCCATAATTTATTACAACTTTTAGAGACAATTATCGCAACAAGAATGCCTTGCTGAGTTACTGTCTGTTTTCGGCAACGAAGCGCCACATCAGTCGACAATTTCCGGTTGGTATGGAGAATTCAAACGTGGACGGGTGAGTCTTAGCGACGAACCCAGGGTGGGTGCACCAAAAACGGCAGTCATCCAGGAAAACGTCGATGCTGTGCGCACACTCATCATTGAAGATAGACATGAGATTGAGGCGTCCTTGAAGATCTCAAAGACCTCAATTAAAAAAAATTTACATGAAGAATTAGGAGTAAGAAAATTAGTTTCTCGTTGGACACCCACCTGTTGACTGAAGAGCAGAAAGCAGCCAGGGTTAATTGGTGTCAAACAACGCTTGACCGTTTCAATTTCGGAAACTCAAAAAACGTGTTTAGGTGTTCCAAGGTAAAGAAAAGCCAACAAAAGTCATCCGTTCTCGAAGTGTTTCGAAAAAGATGGTCGCGACATTTGTGTCAAAAGCGGGTCATATTGCAACAATTCCTCTTAATGAGCAAAGAACTGTTATTGCGGATTGGTATACCACCATTTGTTTGCCAAAAGTCATCACCGAGCTTCGAAAAATCAACCCCGAAAGAAGAATCATCCTCCACCAAGACAATGCAAGCTCGCACACAGCCCAAAGAACAAGGCAGTATTTAACGGAAGAAAACGTGGAATTATTGGACCATCCTCCATATAGTCCCGATCCAAGTCCTAACGATTTATTTACTTTCCCGAATATTAACAACAGACTGCGTGGTCAAGGGTTCCAGTCACCAGAAGAAGCAGTTGATGCATTCAAAAATGCCGTTTTGGATATGCCAGCAAACGAGTGGGATAAGTGCTTCGAAAATTGGTTCGAGCGCATGCAGGTGTGTATTAATCTTCGTGGAGAATACTTCGAAAAACAATAAAGTCATTTAAAACTACCTACCGTGTTGTTTTATTCCCATATGCAAAACTTAAAAGACATCCCTCGTATACCGAAACCTTTCTATGAAAAAACTTAACAAGGTTTTGAAATTTTTGAATTAGTATCACGTCAAAATCGAAAAAAGATAAGCATCCTGTCATGCCTATCGGTAGTCATTTCTGAGAAATTACCACAGTTCACTTTAGTGGTTATATACACTCTTTTTCGACGACATTCGTTATTAGCTGTAGCTGTTAAAAATAACGTAATGACTCGTTATTGTTGTTGCACTAAAAACTCTTTAATGTTGGTTGAGATGTTGAATTCGTTCTAGCTAACTGCCTTTACACACAGGAGCGACAAGTTTTAATGCTACAAAAAAAGTACACCTTCAGCACATTTCATTGATGTATAGTCTGGTACCGTAACGAAAGAGAGTAACAGAACACGTCGCATGTCACTGCTGCACTGTTAACGCAGCCTCGTGTGAATACGGGCAAGATCCCAATATACAGGGAAAACCAAATTTGTCTGACTGGTTGAGTTCAATGTGTACGAGAGAGAAGTGTGTATCAACACATGTTAGAAAGAGATAGAAGCCGGCTGAAGAGCTAACGTCATCACCACAATGGCTAGCGACGGTGACGCAGATGGTCGTGCAATCTGCCGCGTTCCGCGTTGCCAATATGTTACACCAGAAAAAGGCTTCAACAATAGGTTAGGTTACTGTCAAACCCAAGAAGGAGATCTGTTCGGAAATCTGATTTAATATTTTGTTTCCATTTTGATTAGAATTATTTATTTATTTCAATTTTGATACAATTTAGCATTCTAATTTACTCATCCTGAGTTATTATTACATTATTCAGCTGGATTCTATCTATTTCAAACATGTGTGTCTATACACACGTTTCTCTCGTACACATTGAACTCAAGCATTCGGAAAAATTTGGTTTCCAGTGTAGATGGAACAGTTGACACTGTCTTTTGTGTACGTTTCATTGCATGCCTGTTTGCACCGCGACAACTTGAGTGATCTATAAATATCTAGTTCCGTTTATTTTTTAGGTAAGAAGCCAAGTGTTAAGCAACTAGAAGCAGCCAAAAAGTTTTTGAATTGCGCGGTCGAGCTTGGAGAGCTAGACAGAAACTACACGCTTTTCGGAGCAAGACAAGTTAGCGCGACAGCGAGTCCTGGAAATCAACTATTCAGCGAAATAAAGACTTGGAAACACTTCACTGAGAGCCCATGAAAATAAATGATTTTCTAATTATATACCTTTTCCATAAAGGAAAGAGGGAAAAAGAGCTTCTTCAAATAAAGTCTGAAGAGTATTTTATTATTACTTAAATAATTCGCTAGTTTTAGATAAATTAAGAATTTCAGTCCAACTATTGTGAACATTGTCAACTGCAGAACTGCTGTTGCCATATTAACTTTATGATTAATTTGTTGAATTTTCAAATACGTCCCTGTAATATTAGAAAACCTCAAAAAATATAGACTGCGCTATCTATCGGAAGAAAAGTAACTAGTTTAGGATTATAGTATCTACATGTAGAAAACTATATTCAAAATTTGAGTTTCATAGAGATGGCGCCACCTAAAACTACCTTACAGACATCTATTAACTATGATTTGAGTTGAGAGAAACATTCTTGGGGAGAAAACTACAAGAAAAATAGATTTTATGGCACAGTTTTCAGTTCCGTCACTAGATGGCAGTGGCGAAATTGACATGAACGATGATAATTAACCTCAAAGTTTAAAGAAAATATTCTGTGAGAAAACGTCACGGTAACATTTTGTTTGTGTTTTCAATTTCTGTAAAACTAAAACTCCAACTTCTTTAGTTAAAAGAAATGAAAGTCTGCAAACTTACGCGAATGTGAATTGTCTTTCTACTGTTCCTGGTTATCTATTATCCATTTTGAGGTCACCTGATAACCAAAATGGATCCAGGCAAAAAAATATCATTTGGCTTCAGCAAACAGAGCAAAAAGCCTGCGCTTTTGAGGCAGCCGTCTCCGCCAAAGGTTGAACTCGTGGAATGCTTGGAAGGACACGCCGTCAAAGTGAAAGAGTAAGTCCAACGTTGTTTTCATCACTTCTTTATCTATTATAACTTCACTTTTATTTAGTGCTGTTGAAGAAGTCCATGAGCCCTTGGTTATCCCAATCAAAGAAGACAGAAAAGGAATAGTAGATAGAATAAAACAGGCTAGAGCAAAACAGTCAAGTGAGGCTAATACAAAAGATGAGTTGGAAGGAAAACCAGATTCTGAACTAACACTAGATGAACTGGCTGCTAGGGAGCTACTAAATGGTAACAATTACACACTAACATAATTCTCTAAAAGTCTGATTAGTGGCATAGCCCATGGTGCAATTTTGTCTCCTTATTTCCTACTTTTTGATTGTTTAGATATTATGAGAACACAAAATCTCAGAAATAATTGTGGAGAAGGTTAAGGCGTGATCTTTTCTGGGTAGGTTGATGTCATGTTTAAGAATAAACAATTTTTTCAAAAGAATAATGGAGTCTGTTTTTATTACTTCTAAGATAATTTACTGCAATCTCATTTGGGAATCAGGCTGCTATTATGGAAATTGTTACCAGTCAAAAGTGACAGTTGAATACAGCATATATCTTTGAGAGTCAAGAGGAAACATTTTTAAGTGTAGAAATTCGCTGGAGGAGAAATGGCACAAGAGCATTGATTGGATATCTTTTGTTTCCTGGCTAGGTAGATTTATTTCCTAGTGCTCCTCATATATGAGGGACCACAGTCCTTCAATATTACATTGTTGTCTGATTCTGGATATCACAAACACCTTCAAAATTGTAGATGCAAAAAAGAAACTAGAACAGGAGAATGATCCAGAAGGTAAAGTCTTGGTGCTTCCAACTAAAGAAGATAAGCTCAAATTAGAGGGTGAACCAGAGCCAACATTAGAGGATTATGAAAACATCCCTATCAGTGATTATGGATTGGCAATGCTACGAGGCATGGGATGGAAGGAAGGCACAGGAATTGGAAAAAAACCTGTTAAGTATGTATTTTACTTAAACCAGAATGATCTGCCAATGGAGGGTCTACATGTTTTGTTTCCTTTTTTTAAACAGTTTGCAACTAGATTTTTTTTGTTTTATCTTTTTCAGAACTAATTTGGCTAAACCTCCTGATGTCAGACCAAAAGGACTAGGTTTAGGTGCAACAAGAGTAATTCAGGAAGAAAAATCAAAGGACAAAGCTGTTGACAAGGATGGCAAAGAATTAATTTTGAAAAAAGGGGCATTTGCTAAAATTATAGCAGGACCAAATAAAGGCAGTTATTGCAAGGTGAACCTTTTCCCTATTATTATGATTAAATAATACAAATGTGTTTTCATTAATGAAATGTGAAAACCACATATGCTGAGGAGTATATTTATTGATATTATTTGTTTGTTTCAGATTTATTTAGCATTAATGCTACACTGTCCATAATATCCATATTACACAGTATATCACAAAATATATTATATCTTCAAGACTACATATTTTTATACAAAATGAATTCTGGTTTTCCATGAGATATTTTTTCAATTTCCCTTTGAACATTTTCAAACTGACACAGATCTTGATATCATTACTTAATTTATTAAATTCGTACAATCCTTTTTGAAATACTGACTTGCTCGTTATATTGCTACTGCAGTTTTGTAAATGAAAGTCTATACTTCCTCTTGATTCTCTCTCATTAAAGATATTTTCCACCTCGAAACATATCCACGAATAGTCGCTTATTTTTGGAGTATGTAAAACCTTAATACTCAAGTTCTGTTCATTGGTTATTATTAAATCGATCTTAGTTCGTGAAAAGTTTGAAATTCTTGTGTAGGCATTAACTTTTTGCCATAAACTATGAAAGTTCAGTACTTGTTTAAATTTTTTTACATAAAAATCTTGATTATTAAAATTTATATTGTATAAGTTTATGGGTGATGATAATTCTAGTAACTGAGATGATATTAGTCTGTTTTATAAGTTTGAAACTCACATCAAATAGAAAAAAAATCATTTATCGGTTTGCATTATTGTGAGTTGTTTTTTTTATAGGTTTTAGGCCTAGATGATGAAGCTGCTAGAGTGATTGTGAAGACAGCACTTAAAGAAACTGTACTTTCACTTAATGAGTTCATGGTTGTCCTTGTCAGTGAAGAAGAATACAATAGAAATTCAAAAGTTTTGAGTATGTATTACATTACATAATAATTTCTCATTTCATTTACATTCGTAAAGAGAAGTTAGTGTCCCCTTTCTATTTTTTCAAATTTTCAATGTCTACTATACTCTTCTATACCATCTTCCATTAGCTCAGGAATGTAGGCATATGCCAAGAGTTTTATTTTGCATAGTTTTGAAGATCAAATCAGATATGTGGCATCCCCCCATTTTGCATGCACTGAGTAAATTGATGTTGGTCTTCAAATTTTGTAGGTTTCTTGAACGGTTCACATTAACACAGGCTTTCAAAAAACCCCATAGAAAAACAGGACAAATTTCCCGTATTTTACTGCAATCTATATGTTTTTGTCTAATTTGAAATTTTGTTTTTTAGATCATGCAAAATATGAAGAGCACAAGGAAAGAATCAACAATGATCTTATCAAAAAAGAACCAGACAGCGTAAGTGACGATTTAGGCAATCCAACCTCAAATAAACAAACTAAAGAGAGTACTTCCAGATCTCATTCGAGCTATAGAGAAGACATTAAGGGTACTCAAAGTGTAAAACAAGAGAAAGAAGAAAAGTACAAAGAAAACCACCAGGAGGAATCAAAATATAAGATTGAGAAAATACGAAATAAATTGAGTTCTCCAGATAGAGACTTGAAAAAGGACAGTAGAAATCACAGAAATGTGAAAGAAGAATATGTAAAAAAGGAAAAACATTATAGTCAGGATAAATCGAGTTCAAGAAAAGGGAAAAGTAGGAGTCGGAGCAGAAGAGACTCCTCTGCCTCAAGCAGTGATGCAGATGACGGATATAAAGAAATGAGCAAGAGTCATAAAAACAAGTCAAAGAAAAAAGGAAGTCATGACTCTGATCATGACAGAAGATCCGGTCACAGTAAGAAGTCAAAGAAAAAAGAAAAATACAGAAATGATTCTAGCTCAGATAGTGAATCCGAGAAAAAAAGAAAACAGCATAAAAAGAAAGACAAGAAAAGTCACAAAGATAGGAGTAGGTCACCAAGGAGAAAGCATAGTAAGAAAAGCAGGAATCGAACAAGATCATCATCATGTGACTCTTAATATATATGATTTATAATTGGTGTATAGAATTTTGTAAATGAATGTATTAAAAAAATGAGCTCCTCTAAAGATGATTGTATCACTACCGATACCCCGACTGATGTGACTTCACACCGCTGACTCTGAAACCAATGGCGCCAACATAGAAAAATTCAAGGAGGCACATTGGTGGTTCCAGCAAGATTTCATGGGAAGGATGAGGGGCGGGAGTGCTAGTGATTGAATTGAATTTAATAAAAAAATGAACCTTGAATTCCTCTTTCACAGGATATAGCTTAAATGGCTTGATGCATTTTAAAATATGAGGTGTCTAGATTGGTTTGTCTCTTAATGCAAGTGACACTGGGCATACTAAAGTTTAATAAAATCAGAATATCGGATCTTGATAGCAATTTGAAGTTAAGGTCCATCACGCTTCGACGTCTACTGATGTGAACAGCTGATCAGCATGTGACATTTTTGTGTTAGTCTGCGACGTTGGCTCCAAAGAATCGGGTGTAAATCTAAATTTGTAGCGTGTTGTTTTTTGTTTGCAGATGAACTTTTCTCAATAAAATAGATAAAATAGTTTGTTGTTTATCATATTCAGTCATGCACCCTAACCCTAAAACTGCATGCCATCTTAAAAAATAACTTCTAATAAATCCTCTTAATGTCAATGTTCATATATACTATATATAAAAACACATGTCCGTCTAGCTGACTGCATCATATCTTAACCACACTATGGAGCGGCGTATAAATTTGTACACATACTAAATATGTCCGAGGAAGATGTTTCATTTTGCACTAGCTGTTACCCGCCACTTCCTATGCTTGAAATTGTTACAAACACAAAGCACAATGGTATAAACCTCCTATGACGATTTGTATCTTTGATGGCATTAGTAAATTAGTTTATTAGCGACGGGACAGAAAGCCAGTTCGAAAAAAGTTTAGTTATTTATTATACAAAGGAAAAAGTATTTGATCTTAGCTCAAGGTTGTATTGCCTCCAGACGCGCAGCGGAGGGAGACAAAAAACCGAAAGCTAAAATCTAGTATTTTTCCCATGTATAATACACATTTTTTGTACTTATAGCGACAATTATTAGACCTGCGTGGTTAAGGAAACTTTTAAAGTAATCAGTCAATTTAACTTTGTGATTTGATTTAAAAATTGTGAACTTAGTGGTTGTTTAGAAGTTATTTTTAATACTATAAAGTAAAAAATATCTGATTCCGAGTTTTCTTTGACTCCACCGGAATTACAAGAAGTAGTGTAAGTAGCGTCACAAAAATTATTGTCAGCTAAATCGTTATACAATATCCGGGAAAAAAGTCCTCATTTTTAATAATTTCATAAAAAAGTGACATTTTGTTACCTGTCAACAGAGATAAAATGTCAAACTTTTTATCCGTCACAGAAAAAATATTTTTGTTGAGTCAAAAACGAACTGAGTCCACACCTGTTTATAAATTGTATGGTTGATTATATATTTGAGTGGCTAATAATTTATGATTTTTCAATTATCAAAAAATGCAAACAGTATGAAACTATTATCATTATCAAAGTTTAAGCAGATAAGCAGTATAAGCACCAGAAATCTGAAAATTTAAAATGTTCCCAGAAAACGCTAATTAGAGATCACAGAACAAGACTTTTATAAAAACGTTTGATTGGATGAAAGCATGATGGTAGAAAGTTTTGCGGTAGAAAGCCATGTTGCCAGAGTAAGATATTTTTCTCAGGTACTGAGAAAAATACAAGAAGTCCCAGACTTCCTGGAGCGAACTCGTTGGAGCTTTAAAAAGTAATTATTATATTTTGGCAGGGGACTTCATCATAAATGCTTTGACAATTTGAAACCGAACCCAGGTACAGCGAATGTTTTAAGTCCTTTGCTTTAACCTGTAATGGACGCCAAACAATGTAATTATCAAGAAGAATCTATTGGTGTATTGCATGTTAGGGCTAAATCTGTAAACAACGAAATAAATAATAAAATACTATATTTGTAGACACCGTTCTTGGTGTTTACGTCATCAACGCCATATGAAATAGGTAAACATGGGCGGATCTACTCTCTCCAGTCCGCATGAAGAGGGTAACAGGGGACCGCTGTTTTCATTCTTATGCTGGAAATACAATACAATATAAATTTAGCACGAGCTTTCTCCATTGATCGTATTTCCGGGCATTGTACAATTTTATATTGAAGATTAATAACAGGACCACCCACATTGCACGCCGATGTCAAGTAAGTTGTCACTCTGACAAATATGATTGAAGGGCACTCACATGTAACGACAATGTTTTCGAGATGAAGACACACAACTAAAAAGCGTATGTCTTTGAGCTTACCGAACAAACGTCCGCACGCAGGGGTATGTTGCATGTGTAAGTATGAGGGAGATAAAGATATATCAACTTACAGTCTTCGTTTCACCCCCCAAGAACGGTGACTACAACTATAGCAGTGATAAATCTAGTTTAGATTTCGTTATTGCTATATATTTTGATCCCAGTTTTAGAGCTCTATCTGGATTCTTGGACTAGTTGGTTATATTATTTATTTATCTAGAATCACAGTTTCATTATCTCCAATTATAAATACAGGATGAAAAACATACCCAAAGGAACAATAAGACAAAATTAGTTTCTAGAACCAACAGTCATCTAATCCTTGACAGCAGACTTGGCAACGCTGTTGAAAACTGTCAATGTATATACTTGACATTTCCGATATAACCTTATTCTTGCATACGGTGCTTGCAGAATATTTGTAGTGAAAAAGTTTTTTAATCACAACCAGGAAATAACAGTTACCGAGAAAATTCCTGCTACCGTTTACCCGCATCGCATTCTAAATGTAACTGCTGGAAAACTCTTCAGGATGGCAGATAACGTGTTCGACATAGAGTTGCATGATGTTGAGACTGTAGAAGTTGATGATTCAGACGATGCTATCGAAATCGAAGAGGTAAATACTTCATTTTCTGACTTATATAATGTTCTTCATATTTGTGGTATGCTTGAGCAAGTACCTTGATCGGTGCTTTTGGTGTGCAAGCCACAAAATTTTATCGCTTGATTTTTTTTGTTTCAATGTCACTCCTTTTATAGCTGGCATTCAGATGAAGAATGATCTCAATTTCTCAATACGTGAACGTTTTTTATTCTGGATGAATGGAACGGCACCCGTATTTGAACAGATAATTTGAGAAATGTCGTAAATTAACGTAGAGAGTAATAAGATGGGGGTGGTTCAAATATCCATAACAGTAATATTTGACATTCACATAAATCATATTTTATTAGAAAGTATATTAATGTTATTTCTTGCTATTATATTAATTAATGGTATCAATAAAGTCCTAAATATTAAATTTATTGTAAATTAAATCTTCCTACATCTATGCTACAGTGCCAGTTTTGTATAATCATTCCCTTACACATTTTTTTGAATTAATTTTCTGTAATTACATCACTATTCATTCTGAGTATTCATAAAGTGATTTTTTAATTTCACCTTAAACATTTTTAAATTCAAATACTCCCTTTTGAAATACAGATTTGCTAGTTGTGCTACTATTACAATTTTGCAGTTGAAAATCCATACTGCATCTAGTTTTGTAGTTATTTATTTTTGTGAAGTTTTCTAAATGTGGTGGCAATAAATGATTTCTTAATTTGAATATTATGAAAATGAGATCTACTTAACATATGAATAAGATTTAATCAATTGATATTTCTCCCTCTACTTCTAGATTGATTGTTAATTTGCAAATTTCAGGAAAGTTATGTTTGTAGTATTACTAATATATCATTTTGAAAGAAGCACTTAATGTCAGATTATAAAGGTCTCAGTAGGTAAGAATCTTATTTCAAACCTTTCTTAATCCAAAATTTTGACCTGTGTACTCATAAACTAAAGGTTTAGTGTCTAAGGATTATTTGCAATATTTGTAACATAAAAATATCTCAGATTTCTGTACCTTTAGATTTACCATAATTTCTTTCATTTCAAAAAATTGTATCTCAATCTCAGTTTATTTATTCAGATTCTTTGATACCTGATGATCTTTTCATGTTAAAGTTTGGGTACACCACAAGAAACTTGTTGTACTGAATATTTTGATTTTTGAGTTATTCTACTACTTTATATATATATATATATATATATATTGAGACGTGGTCATTGTCCTCTAAACCAGTTAGGTGAAAAATTAAAGCTTATATATATATATAGGGTGGCCCATCCATGTGTGGACGGAATATTACTCATAAATAAATACATTTTGGGAAAATCTATTTATGGAATGTTATACATGACATTTGAGAGCACATTTCTAAAATATTGGCCATTATACAGGGTGTCCCAATATCGACCAACATATCAAAGTTGTGATTTTTCAAATGGAATGCCTCAAATTTTATTGCATATTTGGATAAATCAATTCAAAATAAGAAAATTGATATAACATACTATGGGGTTTTGGTAATTAGCTACTGAGATATAAGGTGTTTTGTGTAGAAAAACCTCCCACTTCAGCTGTCCCTCAGTCCGCCATTTTGAAATTTTGAGTGCAAAAATCACTTCATAATATCTCTCCTATCACCTAATTGATAATTTACAGAATTCTAAGTTATAATGTTTGTAGTATGACTAACATCCTGTTGAAATTTCTTAATTTTCATATTATAAATGTCTCAGTAGATAAGCAGCTTATCCCAAACCTTCCTTAGTGTGAAATTTTACCTAAATACTCATAAATCAGAGGTTTAGGGTCAAAGGATTATTTGCAATCTTTATGACAGAAATATATTTAGCATAATATGTTCCATTTTCCTTCAAAGACCTGTATCTCAATCTTAGTCCTTAGTTTATTGATTCAGATTATTTGTTACCTGTTTCTTTTTTCCTATTAACTTTCTGGTACATACATGTATGGAAACTGAGTATACTGTATAAATACACCTCAAAATGGTGTATATTTGTAAAAAAATATTTGATTCCTGTTGGTATAAACTGACTTGAGCTGTGACATTTTAAAGCAGAATGATTGACATGCTCTCTGTGTGCCTTTATTTTGGTTTTCAAAAAAATATAAAGGAAGATACTATATCTGGTGGTGGAGACAGTAAGGAACTACAATACAGTGGACCTCCGTTAATCTGACAAACATTATGCAGGGGCAGGGCAGCCTAAGACCCCCAATAGTCCGGAATTTTTTACAAAAGAGTATCTTGTAATCCGACAAATTACATATCCAATGGTAAGATTATATATGTTATGTATATGTATGTACTTTGAAGTACATAGTTTATTTATGTCGAATTTAGTAAATTAAATGATAATAGAGAGCTTACGTTTTATTATAAAATTAAGCATAATTGCACATACATATGTTTGTTGTATAATTAGAAACCTCTTTTATAATCTCTTCGTCAGACATTTCATGAAAAACATTTTCCTCTTTATCCATTCCACGGCACCAGATTTCCAAATCTTCCGGCCTTATCTGTGTTTCAGTAGCGACTTGCTCTATAACTTCCGAAGTAACACTGATTTGTGGAACGTTGCTAGGAGTGGTGACTATATCTGGTCATAACTTTTTCCAAGACGATTTAATAGTTGATGACGGTAACGCATTCCACGACTGATAAAGAGCAAAAACCAAGTCTTTCATATTAAATTCTTTTAAAGTTTTTTCTATTGGTTGGTCTTTTGATACGGCTCTCAGAAGTAGGTTTTTCTTATAGTCTTGCTTGACAAACTGAATGATATTCTGGTCCATTGGTTCAATCAGTACAGTGCAATTTGGCGGAAGACACATCGCAGTAACACATTTATCCTCAGTTGTTAGATCTTCTTCAGACGGATGACCGGGAGTGTTATCAAGAAGCAACAACGCTTTTTGAGGAAAATTATGATCTTTTAACCATTTTCTAACTTCAGGTACGAAGCATTCATCAAACCACTTTTTGAAAAGGTCTTTTATCATCTATGCACTTTTTTTGTCCGTAATAGTGTACAGGTAAATCAATGTTTTTGAATGCCCGTGGTTTATTAGATTTCCCAATGACCATCATCTTAAGCGCGTGTGTACCCGCAGCGTTAGCACATGGTAGTATGGTTACACGCTCTTTACTTACTTTTCGTCCAGGTACGGATTTTTCGTTACAAGAAACGAAAGTTTTGTTAGGCATCACACGCCAAAAAAAGCCCTGATTCGTCTGCATTGTACACCTGTGACGGGTCAAGATTTAAATCCTTCACCTTTTGCAAAAATCTTAATTTAAAGGGCTCTATGCAGGTGGCATCGTTAGAAAGTTTCTCTCCTGTAATAGTCATTAAACGTATGCCATGACGACTTTTAAAACGTTCTATCCATCCTTTGCTGGCCACAAAATAATCTTTTTTTATTTCCTTATAAAAGAACTTAGCTTTCATGGCCAACATGGGTCCTGAAATTGGTGCATGCCTATTTTTTTCCTGAAGAAACCACATGTACAAAGCTTCTTCCACTTCTGGATGTTCAGCTTTCTTGAGTGTCTGTCTCTTGCCTCGCCCGCAGTCAGTAGTTGACACAAACTTCTTGATCTTCTCGTGGTTTCTTTTAATGTAATAAATTGTAGATTGGCCTACGCCGAATTCACTTGCTAAACTACTGAAAGTTTCATTGTGATTTAAGCGGTCTAAAATATCACATTTTTCTTTAATTGTCAATGTTTTGTCCTTTCGCTTCTGAGTTTGTGATGACATTACTAGGTACTATACTTAATACACAATGAATAAATAGTAAACAATGAACGCACGCTAGGCCGTACCCCTATCACCAGTAGTCAAATTCAAACTAAGTAAAACAATGCTTACGCGTTGAGCACGATAGCGGTGGCGCGTACAAGTTGTAACCTGTTCAAACCTGCGTGATCTACATTAGCGAAGATTGTCAAATACGTATGTATGTAATACATATTCAAAGACATGTCGGATTACAGGGGGCGCCGGATTAGACAGGGGCCGGATTAGACAGGGGCCGGATTATCGGGGGTCCACTGTATTGAAATACAAAAATCCCATACCCAAATATTTTTAGAAGCAAAATTTTCAATACACACGTTCATGTCATAACTGTTACTTCATCTGTTGTGGCTGAATCAAGTTCAACACTGCACAGAAACGTAAAAAATAAGGAAAACCTGTGTTGTCTGAAAATAATTTGAGACTGACAAAATCGATAGAGCAAAAAACAGATTTATTTATGAAAAGACAGAAAATACATCAAATAACGTGAAGTATCATTTATCTAAATACTGTCACACAGATGAGTATATCAAAATGAAACCATTACACATTTAAGGGAAAATTGAAGACTAATAACGGCTATCGTTCTATTGTACGTGAAACAAAAAATTGTCTTCAAATGGATATTAGACGTTTTTTACTTAGCAATTTATATCGGTCTACCTATAGCAGCTTATGGATAGTAATATCGCCCGATTCATATATCGGCAAAAATGCCGATAGACATGTTATTATTGATCGATGACATGTAAGTTCTAAATTATATCAACCAAGGATTATTTATTTTTATTTATGACTATAGGAGAAACATTGTGCTCGACTATATTAGTTAATATTAATATTGTACAGATTTATCTTTGTTAAATAAGTTAACAATGCTGTGCAATTGCGTTTTGCTGATGTATTTTTGTTGTATATTAAAAACTATGTAACTCCCAACGCTATCTTCTAAGATGACAAGTTGTATTGATTGAATCAATATTATATCACTTAAAGAATGGAACTCATTATAGATATTGACAGTAATCAATAAATATGATGTATGAGATGTTTGTTTGATCCAAAGTATCTGGTTTCATGAACTAACATTTTCTTTTATTTTTTACAGGATGCATATGACCAGAATCCTAATATCAATGAAATTGTCAAGTAAGTATACAAAAATGGTTATTCACTTTTATTATAATGTCATAGTCTTCCTCATGTTTCTCTATTTTTGAGGACATGTTAACATTGAGAATCCCCCATGTTTGTGTGGTCAAATAAAACTACATATGTGTTTGAAATTAATCTCTATTGTAAGTCGTTTTGGTTCCAACAGTGACCTTTTCAAGTACAATTTTAAACATACATGTGGTTTGTTTCAGTCAGACAAACTTGGAGGACTATCAGCATGAAAGTCACAGAATAAGTTTCAGATATTTATTGACAGTGCTTTATTTGATTAAATTTTCTAGACTAGGAAGTACACTACATACACCTCAGTTTATAAAAAAAAACTGAGAATGCAAAAAAGTGTCTGATTATTTTGACAATAATTTGCTCTATACTCCATACCAAACTTATCCTTAAGCATTGTGTTTGCTTTGCAAATGATGAATCACTAAATAATTTTACCATCAGCAATGTATAGAGATTTGATCATTATATTTTATATACAGTAATGGACAAAAGTATATAGACAAATTAATATTGTGCTGAATTTCTTCTTTAACTTGTTTTATTAATACACCAACCTGTATACATAATTCGTTATAGCATAATACTCACTTATAATAATAATAATGTCTTTATTAATTAATCCACACTGCGAGGCGAAGTTTAGCCAGCTGGCTACTCTACCACTTAACCTCACAGCTCAGGAACACATACAAAATTAAAGATATAACAATGAATAGCAATCGACTAAATAATATATACAATAATTAAGGCTTAAATAGATTAATCTTAATATGTTGTACATCTATTCTACATAGCCCGCTCTAACAAAAAAAAAGAATAAAGACAAAAAAAAAATATATCAGCCAGCTTGGCTAGCAGACCCCAGAAGATGGTTCTTAATGGCTCTCTTGAATGCAAGTATTCCCTTCTTTTTGTAATTGTCATTAAGACTATTATACACCTTGACAGCGTTGTAGGTGAAGCTACGATGGAAAATGTTGCTCCTATAACTATACATAAATAACTTACACATAAATAAATTCATTAGACTCCCTTCAATAAAAAATTAATTGAAAAAAACTGGAACTATGAAGGACAATAATATATAGACAAAGCAAAACAACTATAGAAAAAAGAAGCAAAGTTCATTGAATTATAGAAAACCAACCATGTTTGTGTTAATATTTTGTAGCATAACGATTATTATCAATCACCGCCTGGCATCGTCTCGGCATAGATTGTAGAAGTTTCTTGATATCAGATTTATCAATCTGTTTCCACTTTTGCTCTAAAGCGGCAAAAAGTTCATCCTTGTATGAATAATTTCTATTTCGTATTTGCTTATCTAAGTATTTCCATAGATTTTCAATGAGGTTTATATCGGGAGACTGTGAAGGCCATTTGAGAACTGGTATTTTTTCATCCAGAAAGAATTTCTTTGCGAGATCTGAAGTGTGCTTCGGGTCATTATCTTGCTGGAAGATTGATCTTAAGGGCATATTGTCTTCCATATAGGGTAACAGGACATGCTTTAGTATGTCTGTGTATACAAACTTATCCATAATGCCATCTATTCTATGTAAAGGTCCCATCCCAAACCCCGAAAATCACCCCTACACCATAACAGACCCGCCTCCATGTTTGACAGTGGGCAAAGTGTACTTGGCGTTCAATCTTTGTCCACTAGGACATCTAACGTAATGAACACCATCTGATCCAAACATATTGAACTTGGATTTCGTCCCTCAAACATACCCTCTTCCAGTCACAGATACTCCATCAAGATGCAACCGTGCAAATTGTAATCGGTCCTTACGGTTTTTCCTCGGGATTAGCGGCTTATTACTCGGGCGAAGTGCAAATAACTTCAAATCATTGAATCTTCTACTTATAGTTTTCATAGAAACACTGGCAATTCATTTTGTCTTGATTTCGGCTTTTACTTGTCTTGGGATTTTAAACGGATCTTTGGACGAAATTACTTTTATTTATCTAACTGATCTAGCATTTAGTTTTCTAGGCGGACCACTTCTCTTAGAGGCTTCCAAGATACCTTTTTGTTTATATTTGTTCAATATTGCCCAAACTGCTGTACGCTTCAGCTTAAAATTTTTGGCAATGTCGACTTGACGTTGCCCACCTTTGTGTAACTCAATGATCTTAGTTTTCACACCGAAAGAGATTTCTGGACCATGTGGCATGGTCTTAAAGTCACTCAACTTATTCCACAAACTCATCCTCTTCTGACACGAAGATGTACTAAACTAATGTTGAAAAGAATTTGTCTACCTATTTTTGCCCCTTGTATTGTGTTTATTGCAGATATGTAATGTAAAAACAAGGAATTTAAATTTTATGGAGCAATGAAGTATGCATTCGTTTTCTAAAGGTATTTAGGTAAATATTCATATTTGTCTATATACTTTTGTCCATTACTGTATGTATCTATTTAGTACCAACTAAAATAAAGTGTTAGAACTGCGTACTTCGTAAAAATAAGTTATGAATCTAAAAATTGATCTATCTGAAAGGCATTATTTAAATATCTATTTGAAAATGTAGGCTTCTCCTTTTTGTTGCATATTGTTTGTTTTTCAAGACTTTTCCTATAATGATTGCTTAACAAATTTTACGTACTCATTTGTTATCATGACATTTGTCTGTCCTAACTTGACTATGCATGTATTATCCTTTGTCGCTTCTCATTCATATTTCTTTTAAGTTCTGACGGTGTCGAGACCGTCCAGTTGACTGAACAAACTGTAAACCCCGGTCAAGAGAAGACTGGGCCTCAAGACTTTGAGCTACGCAAGGTGTTAGGCAAAGGCGGATATGGCAAAGTTTTCCAAGTGAAAAAAATCACTGGGAACGATGCAGACACTGTGTTCGCCATGAAGGTGCTCAGAAAGGCTTCCATTGTCAGAAATCAGAAGGACACTGCCCATACAAAAGCCGAAAGAAACATATTAGAAGAAGTTAAGGTACATAGACAAGGTGAACGGTTCTCGACCTGACACAGAGATGGCGCTTCAATCAGCAAACATTTATTTCTGCCTGAGGTTACATGTCACTTGTTTGTGTGACAAGTTTCCGCCCGAATTGTAGTGCATCTCTTGCGTGGTTTTCAGCAAGATGGATAAAATTGAATATTGTGCTGCCATCAAATTCTTTGTATTGAATGGGTTAAGTTTAGGGCGCCTCCTCTCCTGTGTGTTGAGGTTGAAGAGGATTATGTAGAAAAATAACATCATTTTTCAACTGAAAATCGCAGTCTTCTATTTCCAGGCCGAGAACTTGTCACTTTACCTATGTCCAATTCATAATATGGGAATTCCATAAAAATTGTGCTTACTAATTTGATTTCTTTTTTTTCCAGCATCCTTTTATAGTTGATTTAAAATATGCCTTCCAAACCGGTGGCAAGCTGTACTTAATTTTAGAATACCTAAGTGGTGGAGAATTATTTATGCATTTAGAAAGAGAAGGAATTTTTTTAGAAGACACCGCTTGGTAAGTCAAATCAAAATCGCGTGTTTTATTTATTTAAAAGGTGCTGAAAGTATGAAATTCAGTTAACAAAGAATTACATCTGAACGATTGTTCTTCTCTCATCTTCTCGGCCTTCCCGAAACCTTTTCAACCACTTATTGACGGTTGGTTCCTTCAGAGAATTGTCTCAATAAACTTGTTACAAACACTCAAAAATCTCACGACCATTCTTGCCTAGCTTTGCAAGAAACTTGATGTTGATGCGGTGTTGCTCGGTCAGAGAGATCCATGCCGACGGCAGATAAAAAAATGGTTACTTACAACAAGCACACCTAAATCCTACTTTCTCGCAGAGGATTCCGGCTCGAACTGAGCATAGAGGGGATTGCATAGAGAGAGGGAACCACCGGGTCACCCCTCCACAACTTCTTGACACGACGCCCGAATACACACCATACAGCTTCAAAGATGGTGTTTTGCTTTCACATTCGTTTTTTGTAATCCTTCATTCTTTCTTTTGCAGTTTTTACCTCTCTGAAATAATCCTTGCATTAGAACATTTACATGGGCAGGGTATTATCTATAGAGATTTGAAGCCTGAAAATATTTTATTAGATGCCCAGGGTCATGTAAAACTAACTGACTTTGGTTTATGTAAGGAACATATTAAAGAAGGTGTATTGACACATACTTTCTGTGGAACGATTGAGTACATGTAAGTATGATGACGGATCGGAATGTTGATTTGTGAAAGTTATTTGTAAAACTAATTACTATATTAGATTGTAATTTTGTAGGGCTCCTGAAATTTTGACAAGGCATGGACATGGAAAGGAGGTAGATTGGTGGTCTTTAGGTGCGCTTATGTACGATATGTTGACTGGTGCTGTAAGTGTATTTATTATTTATTTTTTTATACAGGGTGTTTCAGTTTATTGTTGCATAAGTTTAAGATTCGATAGAACTTTTAAAATTAATGCATAAAGTCTATATAAACATGGGTCGAAAAATGCGTGGCTTCCGAAATACAGGGTGTTTAAATTTACTTTCTTCGCACTTTTCAACATAAAGAAGCTCTCTTGTGAATTTTCGTTATAGTTAGCCGTTTTTGAGATATTTCGATTTTTAAGGTTCGATGCATTTTTAATTATTTATGGGAAAATGATATTTTTTTTACATTTTCGATTTGGGCATTACAAGTAATTACGTGATCGTTTAGATTGTGTTTTTGAACACACCAATAATTCCTAACTCCAAATAAACACAAAAAACAGAATATTAATTTGTTTAATTTTCCAATATTATTTTTAACAAATTAAATTAATTATTTACAACTAAAATGCTATTGGATAGGTAGGACAAACATACAAAATCTAAAGTAGTTGGTCGAAATGTAAACCCAATTGTTCAATACACAATTCACATCTACGAATGATCGAACCTGGTATAGCATTATTCAAATAAGGCCTTATTTCATCACATGCATTCCTGATTCTCTCTATTAGCATATCTCTTGTGGTTACGGGAGTCTGGTACACTTTTTCTTTTAGAAATCCCAACACAAAGAAATCTAATGGATTTAGGTCAGGGGATCGTGGAGGCCAGGCGACTGGTCCTCCACGGCCGATCCATCTTTCTGGATAATTTTCGTCCAGCCAGTTTCTAACTATTCTCGAATAATGAGCTGGACAACCATCAAGATGGAACCAGGCCAATCTTCTTAAATCTAGCATAACATCATCCCACATATGTATTTGCATGTTCAACCTTTAAAAATTCCAAGACGGTCGCAGCATTTAACCTTGCAGGCAAAAGGTAGGGTCCAAATAGTCGATTACGGTAGATACCAATCCACACGTTCACACTAAATTCACGCTGAAACTTTCCCGAACTGCATGCGGATTTTCATGCGACCAAATATGTTGATTTTTATAAAACTTACAAAAAAAAACAGGTAAAAGAAACTAAATTTCGTGCATTCACAATTGCAAAAAAACGTTTCAGGTTTCAACAGACCACAAAACTAACTGTCAACTAATTGACGTTTAACTTTATTCTGCTTTCAATTTCAAAAATATTTGCAGGCACAGCCTACTTCTAAAAATTATCGAGATACTGACTTTTTAACGTTATTTTCCCATAAATAATTAAAAATGCATGGAACCTTAAAAATCGAAATATCTCAAAAACGGCTAAATATAACGACAATTCACAAGAGAGCTTCTTTATGTTGAAAAGTGCGAAGAATCAGTTTTTTATTCAAAAAGCAAAAAATTGCACTAAGAAAAATGCTTAGGTCATTTTAATACACTACAGGTACAGTCGAGAGCGCCCTCTAGCGGTTACAGTAAAACTATGCCCATGGTTCGTTTTGTCGTACCAAAAAACCCTTGTATACAAATTTTCACTGTTATACATCAAATATTGTTCGAAATATTTAAAAAAAAACTATTTTAGAAAGTAAATTTAAACATCCTGTATTTCGGAAGCCACGCATTTTTCGACCCATGTTTATATAGACTTTATGCATTAATTTTAAAAGTTCTATCGAATCTTAAAGTTATGCAACAATAAACTGAAACACCCTGTATATACGGGGTTGCCCAACGAAAACGTCGCACTCCCATTTGTAACTCTTCTGGTATATTTTGGAAAAACGCTCGGACACGTCAATTTTGATTTCTAGGGGGACGTCTTTTCATCTATAGTAGTACAGTACAGGGTGATCCAAAAATAAGATATTGCCGTATACTTAAGATTTTTAAATGGAAACCCCATTTTATTTTTAGATTCTCCATGAAGTTTTTAGTAAATTTTGTATAATAAAGTTTATACCTATCTTCAATCTTTGTGAAGCTATTTTAGTTTATAATAAAATTCTAAAAATTGTGATAAGACTTTACACCCTGTATATTTCAACCAGGAATATGCCCTAATACCCATATGTGTCGTGTGACTATAGAATTATACAGGAAAAAGGAATGTTATCAAAAACCTAACTCAAAATCAAAGAATTTTACTCCTTTGTCCTCTGTGTTCGAGTCTTTTTTACATCATTGAGAGTGCCTAGATCAATGCAACTATTTCCTACAGACTTGACTGTATTTATTTACCCGTTATAAATATTTTAGCCCCCATTCACGGCGGAAAACCGTAAAAAGACAATAGAAAAGATCCTGAAAGGGAAACTGAACTTGCCTCCGTACTTGACCGCCGATGCCCGTGATTTGGTCCGTAAACTTCTGAAACGACAAGTGACAGCTCGATTAGGCGCCGCCCCCGATGACGCAAACGCAGTCAAGGCACATCAGTTTTTTAGGCACATTAATTGGGATGATGTGCTGAGTAGGAAACTTGACCCACCATTCAAGCCATGCTTAGTAAGTAGAAGTGAATTGCTTTAAGGTAACACTATTGTGACAAACACTTAGTAGCACACTTTGATTAACATATTTTACCTGAAGATAGATAAACAATGTACCAGCGTTGCAAAAAATCACGAGTTAGCTGAGAAAATTGAGTAACCCGATTTTTTTTATTATTATTTTTTTTTGATTTGTATCAATTTGTACTGATTTTTTCCCTAAATATGGCAATACTGAACTTTGAAATAACATTTTTTCATTATTTTTCTCCGTTCGTCCAAAAATATTAGTTGTCTAGATTTATATCTACCAAAGATGCCATGAAATTATTAATAGGAGGCGACAACTGGACGGTTTTTTGCAGAAAGGAACCAACCCAGAAAAACAATTATTGAGCAATTAGGCTTTAAAGTTTTGACAATGATTACAAATTCATTGCAGACGATTTTAATTAATGGCATACTAGAGGCTTCAAATATTGTTATGGATCTTTTTTTCAGTAAATGGTATTGCTCGTAATAGTTTATTTTCCTAAAATCTAGATCTTTCATATTTAGTGGGTTGGTTCCTTTCTGCAAAAAGCCGTCCAACTAAAAACATTAATGACGATCCAACAATGGCTGTATTCATCTACTCACAAAAAGCAATTGGACACTATAGATCACGGCCACATAAGTTAAATCAAAATTATTTGCATAACAGAAAACATAAGGTTAAAATTGAAAATACAACTAGCTAAGAAATCGTTCGATTTAAATCGTCGTTACCCTGCCATGAACTGTATTTCTGCATCCAAAATGAAACGAGATATCCTGGTGTTTTTTACATATCGAGTTTGCTCAGAATATTATTATACGTTTCTGTTTGTGTTCTAGACTAGTGATGATGACGTATCACAATTTGATACAAAGTTCACAAAGCAGACTCCCGTGGATTCCCCCGATGAATCTACCCTTAGTGAAAGTGCTAATATGATCTTCCAGGTGAGTTAATCTGTAACATTCTTTTACTTCAACCTTATAATAGTAATAATGAAATCTGCAATCAGTGCCAAACCAGAAACTATTTTTTTAATGCTTGAGTATTGAATTTTCTCCGAGTCTAGTTTTCTTAGTGACAATGCGCTTAATGCTCAGCATGAACATTGCACTGTTAGAGCAGTTACTATAGTGGCGGCGTTATGCGTTTTCGATCGCGTAAAAGGGTCTTGCAAGACAGTTTTAAAAATAAAAGTATCCTATTTCTTGGACATTGGGTGATCACAGGTACAAAAGAACTGGAACTCAGAGACGTTAACCTAATCAAAATATTCTACTTGCTATACTTGCGGTCTGTTTGTCGGTTTGCCTGTCCGCTAATCCTTGACCCATCTATAACTTGAAAAGTACTGCTCGGATTTGGGTGAAATTTTCACACAAGGTTACTAAAACTTGGAGAAACCTTTACAGGCGCGAATCGTGCCTTTGTCGCGGGTCTTCTCCCTCAGTGGATCTCGAGTTATAGAAGCATTGCTATATTCGTCGCGAGAAAAAGCAAGCAGCAGGTGATGCGACGCAGTGGCGCTCCCACGGGGGGGGTTAAGGGAATAATTACCCCCCGCAGATGACTCGAGCAGTCTTTGAAATGGTGGTATAAAGTAAACGACTTATAAAAAAATCTGTAACTTTAAGAAAAGATAGCGGCGACATTGCCAACCCGCTCGGTGCGCATGCGACTAGCGGCTACTCACCCACCAACAGCAACGGAGTGCGCTTCTTCCTGTTGGAACAGGTATAGTCTAGTCTTTTATGGTCCTGCCTAGTATCTAAATTCTGTACCAGTCCCGAGTCCGCAACAAAATTTGACTGAGAAGTGAACAAGCGGAGTTTTCTTGATCTGGTTGGTGTGAACGCTATTTTGTATGTTCTATTGATTTTTTATTTTCCACGCATAAGCCAGAAGATTAAATTTTGTTTGTTTTTAACTTTTATACTATAAAAGAATCGTGTCTAAAAAAAAATGACAGACGGAAAAATGGAAATTCAATATAATTTCAATTACGTAAGTGTTCATACTCCAGCTATCATGTTTTTCTCATGATTAAGAATTTTGCAATTTTGATTTACATTCAATTTTATACTTTATAGAAGTCGTGACATATTTGTTATTGTTATTTTTTCCATGAAGATGTATGTTTTGTTTTGTCTGACATTGTTATGTAGAAAAGTCTGTGATAGATTATATTATTTTACATTTTTGTTTTAATATATGAAGATTGCTCGAGCTTGGTTTGCTTTATTTACACTTTGATTTCGTATGATTCAAAATTTAAAAAAAATGTATGTATTTTCTACAGAAATTACTGTAACAAATTCATATGTCTGCATATGTCGCATGCTTTTAATGTTAAATCATTATAACACTTCAGTACGTCACACTGAGAATTTACCTTCCCTCCCCCCAGACTGAAATCCTAGGAGCGCCACTGATGCGTTGTGCACTTACGAGGTGGGTGCGATATTAACTATAAATACGAGCACTATGCTTGGCGTGCAGGCACGGTGGATAACGTGACAAAAATCCACGCTCTCGTATTGGCAGACCGCCGATTGAAAGTGCGCGAGATAGTTGACACAGTGGGCATCTCAAAAGACCGCGTTGGTCCATGTCCTTCATGACTGTCGCGTTTGCTTACTGACTTACGAGACCAAGGAACCGTCGAAATAGTGGACGGCGAACGGGATCCGAAGCCGGCGCAGACTGTCCTGTCGGCCGGAAAAGTGATGATCTTCGTTTTCTGGGATTCACAAGGTGTGATCTACATCGAATCCAGTGCCGAATTATTGACCCGGTTCGACGCCGAATCGCAGAATAAGATGGACCCATTTGGCGAATAAAAAAGTGACATCGCACCAGTTCCCACCTCCGCCGTTGACGAATTGGTCGAATTAGGCTACGAACTGCTGCCTCATCCACCGTATGCTCCAGATTTGGACCCGTGCGACTTCTTTTTCTTTCCAAACTTGGAAAAGTCACTCGCCGCGCAGACATTTGAATCGAATGAGGAGGTTATCGCCACCACTGAGGCCTATTTTGCCATAAAACGTATTGTTCAGGACGAGTTAAAGAAGTTGGAGCAACGCTGGGTCAAGTGTATTGAGCTAAAAGGAGACTATGCTGAGAAATAAATCGACACTTTTCCAAAATTTTCGTTTTTCTTTTGAAATGCTAAATACTTATCAGACCGCCCTCGTACGTATTAAGAGCTATTACGAGGGGCACGCTGTATATTTTGAGATGCGCATTAACTATACTAGTTAAAATCGGCAATAGTGCACTATTAGAAAGAGCAGTCATTTATTAGTAAGTCGCCGCATTCAGTGCATTTGCCAGCAACTTACAGTGCACGTGGTGTAAACAAATTTAAGACGAAACATGGAGTTGTCTCGAAGGAGATATCGCGCAATGATTTACTATGACTTTAAAGTAGGCTTAACTAAACATCAATGTATCGAACTGTTACAACAGGCATTTGGTAATGAAGCTCCATCCTGGGCAAGTGTTTCGCTGGTATCCCGAATTTAAAAGAGGGCTGATGAAGAACCTAGTGGTAGGTCACGTTCTAGTTGTGACTCCAGAAAAAATTGCTAAAGTTCAGCGGCTAATTGAAGAAGATTCTTGCTGCACATATGCGACTATAGAGGCAACTCTTGGGGTAGGATCCGCAACAGTGCTCACCATTTTGCATGACCATCTTCATTTAAAAGAAGTTGTTGCGTCCAATCCTGCGTCACGGCAATGCCTCTAGCCACACTGCCAGATTTGGGTTATGTGTGACTTCTGATTCTTCAACAATTTTCGTCCGAAGAGGATATCAATCAAGCAATTAATCAGTTTGTTGAAAGCATTTTAAAAACTGATTGGTTAGAAACATTTCATTTGTGGAAGGTTAGGCTACAGAAGTGCATTGATGCTGGAGGAGAATACTTTGAACATAAATAACCTAGTTTTCGGAAAATAGTTTTTAGTTTTCGTGAATCTCAAAATATATAGCGTGGCCCTCGTATAATCAGGTATCAAACATTATTGATGAACATTTTTATACCAGAGCTCCAAAGAAATGAAGTTTCCCGTGTACATACACGCTCATTTCTTAATAATAAGCCCCGAATTTTAAATACGTATATAAAATATGTTTTATTAGAAATTTAATAATTGTAAAATTAACATCATCAATAACAACATCAATAATTCATTTATAATAATTATTGAAAATATTAAAAGTAGAAGAACAGTTATTTGGATTATGAAAACTTGTAGTAAAAGTTATGCGTGCGGAAAAGTGCTACTTCCTGCACGCAGATGCGTGTTGAAAGTGAGTAGTTTCCGCGCGCTAGTAGAAAAAGTATTTTTTTTATTTTGTTGTAGGGCTTCACGTACATAGCCCCGTCGGTCCTAGAGGACATCTACAAGCCGTCGATAATGAAAGCCCGTTCACCTCGCAAAGTGGGCACCCCGTTCCGTCACCATTTCGGCGCAGCCTCGACGTCGTCCCGAATGTTCAGTCTGGATCCGCACGTCAGCGGGTTCCAGACGCCGCACCATTTCGGGAACGGAGCCGGCGTGCCTAGCGGAGCGACTCATACTCACAGTCATAGTACACAGTAAGTTATTTGAAAAAAGCTAAGGGTGACACTGCCATCTATGAGTACGAAGGACAATCGTCGGTATGACCGCAATAAAGGAACATGAGCAGAAATAAATAAGTCCCTTTTGTAGGGATAAATGTAACACTTTTTTAAAATTCGATAATTTGATTAATAGCCAACTTTCGAAAAATTTGAGAAAGCACTTTTTTTAAGATAGTCCAAAGATCAAAAAGATGCGTAGTAAAATTTTCAATATCAAAAATTGAGAATCTGACATAGCCTCAAACTTTGCTAAAAAAGACATGACATCTTTTGCTTACCCTGTATAAATGGACAAATAAAAAAATATACCGGTCGAACCCGGTAAGTGTTGTCAAAAAGTTGGTCAAGAACCCCCAGAATACCACAACTCGATATATCTTTCTGTTCCAAAAATATCGAGATTTGAATTTGGGTAAAATTTTCCATGTTGCAAAGCAACTGTCCACCAGTTTGGAAGGACTGGTAACTCGACCGGCATTCGTTTATACCTATTGATGAAGCCAATAAGCAGAGACGTACATCGCCAATAATATACCAATAATAATAATCATCTTTTTTTATCTCAAAGCAGCCGTGCAGGTAAAAGCCTAAATGCCAGGGCACCGCGGTGTTGTGAGGACCTTAAAGAAACTTTGTTAATCCGATTTTTGAACGACCTGAGCCTCCTCATGTAGATTGTTCTACAATCTCGATACCCTAGAGACAAAGTAGCGGTCGTATCGGCCAGTTCTGGATGTGCGAAGTTCGACACGGTTAGGATGGGAGACCGAAGTCAGGCGGGTCCGTCTGGCAAGCACATCGCACGGCGGCATCATGGAGGAGAGCTATGAGGAGCGTAGCGGGATCCCTAGACTTGTTAGCCCTAAACAAATAGCCTATCTTTTCCCAGCAGCTGCCGCTATTGACCATTGTGTTCGTGCCAGATCAAGTCATCTGTGGTCTGGACTCCGACCATCCGAAATGAACGGCTCGTTGGACTGAAATCTGCCATCCATCGCAACCGTATAAGCGCTTGGATGCTCCTTGTTCGTCAAGATACAATACTGTGTTTTGGAAGCAGAAACATTAAGCTCTAAAAGATTGTTGCATCGCCAAGCAGTGATAATCTCCAGGTTTCTCGTCAGAAAAGAAGTGGTTGCTAGTCACTGAACTTCTGTCTGTCTTTATTACAATTACCTACAAAAGGCGAGATTTAGCTTAAAGTCACTCTTACCACTAATGTTAGGAAGGTGTAGTACACTGATAGATTTTAAAATGAAAGATCTTAAATAGAAAAATGAAATAAACAAATCTACCTTGGTACCACATACTTACTTAGCCTGCTTGCTAGCCTCTTATGTTTAAATTATGAAGGTTTGATAGATTCTATAGAATGTATTTGGTCCTTCAGATATACTGCAGATGTAGAATCGTTAATCTTTGTAGAAAAATCATCTTGGCATTCAACTGGAATTTTTAACCAATTCAAATCCTTAATTTTCCCAGATTATGGTAATATTTTCTAGGTCCCTTAATAAAGCGACCTCATTTATTTTGTATCATTTGGATTCTGTGTAGACAGATGACGAAAAACTGCCCTTTTCTGCTACCGTACTTGAGGGTCGGTAGTACCGCCATTGACGAACTACTCATAGGTGGCAGCGTCACCTCTTCACACAGTACAGGTTTTTCAGTAGACCAATTTTTGTTTGTTTCCTTTCCGTTGCCTAGACTTATACTGCACTGGTGATTGCTGAAAAGCATGAAACAACGTTGTATACGGTTCATCATCATAACCCTTTATTCGTCTTTGGAACTATTCAAAAAGTTAATAATTCATTATGTTATGCATGTTACACAAAAAAAGGATATGCCCAAGTAAAAAGAGATGAACCAAGATTAAATAATAATATAATTGGATTTTGCTTTTTATCTAAGGAATCATATATGAAAGAGCAAAAATCAATTGGATCTGTAGATGTTGATCTGTTGGTTATGGTCACAGAGAGATGGAAAACAAACAGACCCTGATCTACCTGAGTAAGGCATTTGATATTTTCTGTTTCTATGTAAATTGACGAATTTTTAATTTCGGTGATGATGGAAGTTATAAATCGCCATTATACGACAGTCACCATATTGTATTTAGAATGACGGCACGTTACTTATTATGTTGGTCTCATCAAGCCCTCTCATTTGATAACCATAACATAGGGGTAACTGTAGAATTGATAAATCCCTATTTTGTAGCATCCGCCATATTGGATTCAAAATGGCGAGAGATAATTTACTCTGTATCATCACGAGCAACAAAAATCTATACAAAATTTCAGATCATTTGTTGAACATTTACTAGTTGAAAAAACTGCTACAAGATTTGGCCCGCACTGACAAATTAAATGAAAGCTTGAAAAAATCCACAGACGCGAACAGCTACACAGACTGAGATGTCAAATGGTTTCTATCTACGAAAAATAATTGAGCTCGTGTTTCTGCGTGCTCACGGGTCTCGTAGGATGTCAGTTTTTATATGGACAAAAGCCTTGAGCTTGACACCTTAAAAATGGTTAGATTAAAACTTTTCGATGACTGTTCTGATAATTTGCAGTAACTATGTTACTTATTATGAGATTTCACCGAGAGTCTGAACTCAACACAGGCAAAACCTGTTTTAACTACAAGAATCAGTCTAACCTGATTATGCCACTTTTCACCGATTTTTGCAATCACGAGTGGTTTTGATCGGTTATGAGTTTTGGCTGTGACATTTACAATGCGCACATGACTGGTTGGTTGACAAAAAACATACAGGGAACGATTCAATGCTTATTATGCTTAGCCGTACGAGGTTTGTAAATTAAGTGATGAGACTGATTTTTTTTAATTTTTTTCGGAATAGCCTTCAGCTTGTCGGTTACCGCCGTTTGAATGTTTGCGACTGCCCCTGCAGGTGATTGTTCAACTTCGGGAAGAGAATAAAGACTTAAGGACCCAAGTCAGGCGACACCCAATTGTTCTGACTGAGAATGGACGATCTGAATGCACAAGATCAAGAATTCTGCCTATATTTCAATCACCGCAAAACCTGGGCTATTGACAAAACACTATTCCCGTAGGCCTGCTGAAGCTTAGCAAGAGCTTCCATTGCACTGTGTTCGAGTCTGAAGCAAAACCTGATAGCACACTGTTACTCGAAATTGAAGTAATTCATTTTCAGAACACAATAGATAAAACTCGCTACCAAATCACACGAGCGGGTCCAAACTTGTACTGAAGGCGGAACACATGTTCCCCTGTCACCCCTCTAAGCCCGACGCCTCCAGTGTTGCCAGATCGAACGCTACGTTGCCACTTTTATGACTTAATTTGCAGACCTCGTAACGTCTTTCTATGTACATTTTAATTTTGTTTGAGTACTCGGATTTTTGGTCGGTTTAAATTAGGATTAGAAATACTATACCTAGCCGTGACCATTTTCCATCTTAATAACTGGATTGAATAGTATATTTTACAGCGTTGGTAACAATACCAATAATATCCGAGTCGGCTTCCATCACCAACCGGTGCCGCAACAGACACAACAGCCCGAAGAGGCGATGGACGTAAGCAATAGTACCGGCGGTACGTCGCTGGTATAGTAGTGGGAGACGAGGGACGGCGGTGGCAGGTCCACCGAGCTGTCTCCCAACAATGGACTATTAACAAAAGTGTTGTAGTTGAATTTATTCTTGTTTAGTTTTTTTTCCTCATATATTTCCGAGTTGTTCTGTTTCTTTTGCTGTCCGTCGCTGAGAGGATACGAAGTGTTAAATATTGAGAAAGCATAAATTCGGTACTTTGACGGTAACACAGCGAGCACCTGACTAGATATGGCCGATGTCGTTATTTTTTGATATCAATGATTTTAAAAGCGTGACGTGGTCACGACTTTCGAATAACGATGGGTGAGTTTCGCTGATCTATCTTTTGAGACGAATAGCACCGTAGCCCGTGCAAGTGCTGTGAGTCGTAAAGCTATAATTATTTCTAACATCATTCGGTATTTGTTAAAAGTTGTGTGTGCTAAGATATGGTACATTTGGATACTGCTTAGAACTGCTAATAGTGATATTAAAAAAATATGGATTGGTTAAATGCTAATAAATCTGAGTTAAACACTAATAAAGTAAAATGTATGTCAATGAGGAAACATTTAGGTGACAACACAATGAAGCTCATGATGATGAAAAGATTGAAGTAGTCGAATCATTCAAATGTCTGGATATATATATATATATATATATGGATAGTAATCAAAAGTTTTAAGAATACATTATTTCAAAAATATCAAAAAAAGATAAATTAGTTCTATAGTTTCCCTTAATCTCAGTATGTATTCCAAAATATGATCAACCGTTTGGTTTATAGCAAATGAAAGCGTATTTTCAAAATTACTAATTCTATAAAATGAGGCTATGAGAATGATTTTAAATAAAAACAAATGAGAAAAAAGATGTTAGAAGAACTATGGTGGTTGAGTGTAAAAAATGTTGTTATTTTTTTCTCATTTTCAGCTTGAAATTAAATAATTTATTACCACTACAACTAGAAAAGTTCACAAAATTAAATAGTCATTATCATAACTACAAAACCAGCGGCAGTATAGATTTTCATCTGAAAAATTGTAATAGAGAACTAGTAAATCTGTATTTCAAAAGGGAATATTTGAATTTACTACATTGAATATTAAACAGTGTCCGAATTTAAAAATGTTTGAAGTGATATTAAAAAATCACTTTATGAATACCCAAAATGCATAGTGTTGTAATTTTACTAGACAAGAATGTAAAATTACAGAAAATTGATTAAAAAAATGTGCTCTTGATGTGTTAAGGTTAGTTTTTATTTTGATCATGTTTAGTGCTCTTGTAACAATTACAATGGAAATCATTATCCCTGGTGTATAGCAAAGGTGAATACTAATATTTATTCACATCAATTTTAAATAGGTGTGAACAGGATATTATTGCAACTCAATGCATAGTAGCAAAGAAAAGAAAAAACAAATAAACTATCACCTGGAAGAAAAGAAAATATATTGTCATTGTTATTTGTACTTTGAAAAAGGGCGGAAAAGTGATTCAACCAAATGTGATTTCATTTGGCGGCCCGACTGAGGTTTGTGATGCATTGTGATGAACTGGATATATATATACGAGGAGCTATAATGACTATAACTTGTTATTTGTTGCGGAATTAAAAGTTTCATAGCATATACTTTGTATTGGGATAAAGAAAATCCTGGATCAACCTTGATATGTGGTGATGTGGTTTTACAAAGCTTGTCTCAATATTGGATTCTTCGTGTCCTCTTGAACGGTGCAATATCGTTACCATAGATACAAACTCATCATTTAGAACATCAGCTTTTAGTACAATTTTTGTTGTTAATAGGTCTCCACTCCAACAACTGTAACAAAGAAAGGAGAAAACTTATAAAATGATAGCGTCGGATTGTTAGATTATAATAAGAAAATCTGGCTCAAGTCAGCCATTTTCCTTTTTAAAACGTTATAGTTTTTAGAACGTTCCGCAGAACTGATATTTTAAATGCCTTTTAACTAGTCTTATTAGTCACATTTATTTTCAGCATAATTTCAATTCTGTGGTATGTTTTGATGTATTCTACCTGAAAATTGTATGAATAAGAAGATTTTTATCTGTTTTTATGATGTAGGCTCATGCCTACAGCTTTGTTTTGCACAGTTTTGAAGATCACATCAGATACGCGACGTCCACCATTCTCCATACACTGAGTAAACAAATTTCTTGCGTATGTCATGACTCTTGCCAGCATAGAAGGCGCTATATTTGTTCCTGGAACCCCATAGAAAAAAATCACAAGGGGACAAATCGGGAGAGCGAGCCGGCCACTGCAAATCACCCATAATTGAGATGGTGACTGAACTGTGTCGGGACAACACCTTATAGCCCCGCCTCTCGAACGAGGCCACTAGCGCTTCACTACGACATCTACCGACTGAATAGCGCGTATTTTTAAAAAGTTATCTTGCCGCGCCCATGAATATACAGGGTGTCCGGTAAATGTACGGCAAAAAATAGGGACGATAGGCGAAGGGCAGATCGACAACATACCAAAAAATGACCCTAGTAAAAGTTTCACTGTTTTTGAGGTATTAATTTTTTTGTCTCTCTTTTTTTAATCTTATTTTTTTGTTGTTGCTATGCCTAGAAATAAGAGGATATCTGTTTGTTTTTTTTGTAAAATATTCTCAGATAGTTGGTCTGCCATTTGAAATATCATTTTCGATAAATACAAGTAGGTAAACTTGACAAACGAATTTCTTCTTCGTAATTTTTATTTTAGAAAATTATTTTACTCGACTTTGATATTCAGCAATGAAATAGAAATGTACTAGACTGCTACTGCAAAGTACTGCGATAAATTACCTGCTTAATCAGCAACAAAGGGTGGACCAAACGAGGAAATTTTTATAAAAAGACAAAAAAAAGTAATCTCAAAAGCAGTGAAACTTTTACTAGGGTCATTTTTTGGTATGTTGTAGATGTGCTTTTCGCCTATCTTCCCCATTTTTTTGTCGTACTATTTACCGGACACTCTGTATAATTTTTTGGATGGTTGGCTGCTATCTTCAGGAAGAATTCGTTAATCAGTGGTTGAAGTAATATTCTTGATATTCTTTGCTATAGTTGTTGGATGCCGTTCATAGAATCTTATTAGATTTTTTGTTTGTCATTCTTAATAGATAGGTTGTAAACAGTCAAAATGTATAACTGAACACTATGCAGCTCAGGTTTTCAGATAAGTAAAAAATATAAGCTAATTCTACAGAAAGTTTTTATATTAATTTAAATTATTTAAATTTCTCTTGTAGTTATTTTATGAATTGATCCAGTGCCGACATCTTTGTACTGAAAAAGCGGTTTCATATATTTACGTTTCTGTGACTGCCAAAATTGACCATCATGATAAAATCGGCTCGTATATTAGCTTTTTACTACCTCAAATTATGATGAACGATTTTATTTTGTGAAAAAATAATTTTCATATGACTTTCAATTTACTTTACTCGGTCAATTAGACACGTCTGTCAAAAATGTCAAGTATCTTTTCAATTTATCTTTGAATATTATATAGTTTTTTGTCAATTCAGAAGCAAATTCGTCACATATACAGGGTTTCAATTAAGTATGTACCGTATATTTAACAAACGATTCTTTGAGTAATTATTCGATCTCTAGATACAGGTGTTAAAAATTTAAAAAAATGATTTTTCGTGAATATCTTAAATATCCTCCACCTAATTTTGTTCTAGTTTGGCAGTGGTATTTATAACAATAAGGAGCTAATTTAGCCCTAACTTGATTAAAAGTCCAGTGGCGTCTTAGTGGGATCTGAACAAATATTTGTCACAAAAAAATATACGCTACTGACTTTTGTGCAATTTTTCTGATGTTATTTGTATTAATAAATACAACTTTTTTGTCTCTTCAATTATTCTCGTATCTTGTTTAGTTTTCGAGAAAAAAAAGTGCACTTAATTGAATACTCCTGGACCACACAAGGAAAAAATTTATTTTGTAAATTATTATTTTTTTATAATTGTTATTACTAATTATGTAACAACAACAACAAATACTAAATAACATTAACATAATTCGTAATAAATTATAAAAAAAATAATTTCCAAAAGAAACTTTTGCCCATATTCCTGGTGTGGTCCAGCGATTTGCAATTAATTTACGAAAACTAAGCAAAAAAATTAGGTGATACAAAAGTTGTATTTATACTTGCTTAATCCACAGAACATAATAAAAGTTGCACAAAATTCAGTGGCGTGCAATTTTTTGTCACAAATAATTCGTTCAGATCCCGCTGGAGACGCCACTGGACTTAATAAATTCATTCTCAAGTCAGGGCTAAATTAACGCCTTAATGATATAAATACCACGGCCAAATTACAACAAAATTAGGTAAGGGATATTTAAAATATTTACAAAAAAGCATTTTTTTTTCATTTCAAGAGTACGAAGAATTTGCGGACCCGTGTTTATATGAACTTTTTGTCTCAAAATTACTCAAAAAATCGTCTATTGAATTTATGGTAGATACATGCTTAGTTAACACCGTGTACCTATATGAAAAACAAATTTTCATTGAGGTTGTGTAATTTTAATACGAGCACATCAGTTTGAGTATCAAGCAATTTTTACATCCTTTGATTCCGATGGAATTTTTTCAATAACTTTCACAACTCGGCACTAGATATAAAATGGCAGTACATTTTTTTATAAATACTAAATAGAAATGGGTTTAATGCATATATAAGGAAATGATATTTGAATATATGCTATGTATATATACTAAATAAGGTAATGAGATATTAAGCACAAGTATCATTATATCGTAAATTTGCAATGATTTAGGTAATATTTGATGCCGGAAGTTTTCATAACACACAGCTTTCCTTCTAAACAAAACGAAATATAACGAAAACATTTCTTATTCTCAGAACGTTTCAATTCCAGTACGAATTTTAAACGGAGTTTAGGCTTTCATTAAAGTATCTAACATATGTGCAGGGTGATTAAAAATCAGCGGCAATATGTATAGGGTAGAAATTATATTGAAAAATAACCCGAAATATGTTGTGTTGAATTTCATTTTTATTTTTGTCCTATTTTCTATGTGATCGGAAAGATAATTTATCAAAAGCCTATAGTTTCTATACTGCTAATGCTTGTGGTAAAATTATTAATTTATTTTTTGCAAATGCAATATTTTAGCTGGACATATTCACAGGTTAGTAGCATCAAGTGGTCCAATAAATATGTACTGTAAATTTTTGATTGGTTCAAATTTGAGTATTGCAAGATTTGTATATTATTTAGTGGTTTTAAGTTTAAGATTCAATTCTTCTTGATTATTTTGTGTAATCTCCTAATACTGACCTGTCAATATAAGTCTGTTGCAATGCCTTAATTAACTGTTCTGTCATCTGGAAGAACGTTAAACAATTGATACACTGTGTTGTGATAGAGCAATGACTATAGGATAGAACATACAAACTGGAAAATTATTGTTTACGTGTTAGATGATCAATGCTTAGTATTTCTGCCATTGGCGAAGAAATTAACAGTGTTTTGGAAATATATACATTTTTATTTATTGTATATTTATTGTTTTTACCCTTTTTCGGAATTTTTTTCTATGGATATAAACATTTCAATTATTTAATTGTAAGGGTTTTGTTATCATAAACAAAATAAGACTATTGTAATAAATGTAATAAAAAAAAACGTTTTAGTCTTCTTGGTTCCTCCAAATGAGCCTTTCAGAAAATACCTACAGTATCTTCACTGAATCAAAGCAGTTACGTGACAACGTCAAATAATGACAGTGTCGCACATGGCTGCCACATTAAAACTACTAGATCCTAAGAAGTAAACAACAGCCGTTGGCACAAAACACATAAGTTGAAGAAGTGGGAGCTGCACGCTAAACAAAGGCAACACCGTTGACGTTTGTCAGATGGTTGCGCCGCCTATTTGTCTGGAGATCTGGAGGAACTATCGAAAGAATGCCGAGAATACGCCTGGAATAAGGAATGTGCCGGGCTGCCGGGGATTTCATTTGTTCATCATTTAAAATCTGCTGAAAATGATATTTCCGATATTGAAGGTATAGGTATAAGGGTAACATCTCGTTCAGCAGTTTTGCAGAGAAAAAGGTTCAGAATAATAAAATCCAACCCTAATTATGACGCACCGTATTTATTAAGTTTTAAAAAATATTCATATGCTACTGACAATGGTATAAAGATTGCATTACATGTAAATATAGATAGATTTATTTCAAATTCATGTTGAGTGTTGCAAAAGACGAGTGTCTCACTTCATTGTACCGCTCCTTGATAATTCTGAAACAATACAGAAAACACGAATGTAATTCATAATTCTTTGTAAATAAGCTAGTCACTTTTAATTACTTTGCTCAGTTCTATGCCAATGCCTTAATTTTTTGGCCTTACATACTTTATATAACGGTGCCAACTACAAGCATTATAAAGAGTCTGAATCCAGACATGCAATTTTAAATAATCTACCAAATACGTCAAGCCGAGATGTTAACTTCACAGCCTACCTGTACCACTTCATGACATGACAGAGTCTCCTGAACTTGTGCATCTCCCACAATAATAATCCGGCTTTATTTATACAAAGTATAAAAAGGCGAAGTGTCGTTAAAAAGTGTTTCTCAAATTAACCCAACAAATATTTATGTAAATTTTCTAATCCCAATGACAACAAAGAAGTTAAAAAAACCTGTAACGAGTCCTTATTCAAGGCCATGGTCTACTTACTGGGCAATAAAATCAGAGATAAAATTCTTCAATTTTTTTTTGAAATTCTTTATAGAGTAGTGAGTGAACTCGGTAGGCAACGCGTTGTATAGCTTGATAGCAGTATATACGTTCGACCTTTTAAATAGTGATGTTGAATGTCTCGAGATAATCAAGATATGCTTATTCTTTGTGTTCAGTTAATTAACATCTGAGTATCTGATAAATTTGGTTGATAGATATGGAGGGGCTTGTGTTGTGATTACCTTATGGGTCATGGTCACTACGTGCATTTTTTGTAGCTCTTCTATTTTTTGAACACCCAGCTCACGATATTTATGTGACAGTGTCTCAACTTTTGTCACTCCACAAGCAAATCTGAGACATGCATTTTGAATAGTCTGAAGTCTCCTTATCTCAATCGATCTTAGTGCAGGCCCATAAATACAGTCACAGTAGTGAATTCTAGACCATATTAAGGTTTAGCACAACTTCAGCTTGAGACGAGTATTCATACTTTTCCTAGGAGGAAATAATTGCTTCAAGACACCGAATGATGTTCTGCACAGTTGACTAACGCGTTTTTCAAACCTCAAATCAGAATCAATCCAGAGTCCTAAATTCTAGCACTCATTTTTTATAGGGATCAGTTGATCTAAAATGCTCAATGATAGTAATGGTTTTGCCTTTTTTTAATTTTTGGTTCAAATATAACTGCCAATGGTTTTAACGGGTTAATTTTGAGATTATGGGCACAAGATACGTTAGATAAATTTATTAAGTCATTATTAATCAAATGTTCGGCATTTTTTAAATCTTTAATATCAAAGTCAAAGTACAATTGAGTGTCGTCAGCATAGTGATGAATACTGCAGTGTTCAAAGTACTCGTGGAAGTCAGAAATGTAAATTGAGAACAATAATGGTCCCAGAATGGAACCCTGTGGTGCCCCTAGTTTAACTGGTATCTCCTCCGAGATACTTGACCCAATCACAACCATCTGACTCCTGTCAGTGAAATAACTTCATACAAAATTAATTGCAGATTCCCAAAAACCAAATTATATAAGCTTTTTCACAAGAATAGATGGTTCCAGAGTATCAAAAGCCTTTGTATAATCAAGTAACACTAAGCATGGTAAATTTCCTTGATCTACACATCTGATTAAGTCATCCGTGATTCTAGCCAGAACTGTTGTGCTGTGGTTTTTCCTGAAACCCGATTAGATTTCACGAATGATACCATTAGAGAAGAGGTAGTCAGATACATGATGTTTCATGGCTAGTTCTAATAACTTGGAAAATGCTGGTAGTATATTTATCGGCCTCAGATGTGAAATATCTGTAGGGTTACTTATTTTAGCTAGGGAGACCATTTGCTTTTTTCCAACAGTTGGGGAAGTCTGATGATGCAATTGCATAGTTGATGATGAAAGTTATATTTTCAATTAGCAAATCGAATATGATTGTTAGCATATTTAGGTTGATTCCGTCAACACCCAAGGCATTACTTCTGATACTCCGGACAAATCCCATAACATCGTGGCAAGTTATTTGGGAGAATGTGAATTGTCTGGCATGCTGGCTGGTGTTATATTTTCCCAGCAGTTTCATTTGTAACTCAGACTTAACAATGGTAGGTAAACTAGAAAAATACTTATTTATGCCATTAACGTTAATGCTGGTAATGCTAAGTCTCTGAAGACAGCTCCAGGTAGCTTTAAAACCTTTTTTACAGAATGAATTCCATATAGGCTTTTTTCTCCCTATTGATATCCTACGCAACTTCATTGCGCATTTCTTTCAATAGTCACAATACATTTCACATATACGAGCACAGCTACTGATAGTGTTGCTTTATATTTTATGCTCATTATTTACAAAATATCTCCACGAACATCAACGTTGATATTGATAATCTAGATATTAACCAAAACAAACGCCATATTTGATATTTTCACATTCAGATAAAGAATCCCTGCAAGCAGCACGTCACGTGACGCCGGTAATACAGTTACCTCGATTTTACCTAAAGATTATGACCTTGGTGTTGCTAGTTGGCCCATAAGACGTTTCACCCACTTGAGCCGTTGGCGTACTTATCTGACAAGCTATGCGACAATGTCACAACACAGAAAACTGTCGCCAACATAAATGTACCCGGAAAATTCAAACTATACGTACCAATTTAGGATCTATTTTGCATTAAGGTTGGCATTTAAATTTACTGAATATGAGGTAACTGATTTCTTTCAGTAAAATGACTATATATACTCGTATATCAAAAACCTAATAAGGAAAATCTAATAAGGACTGTTTCCCAGGATGAAAAACCAGATATCATGAGACTGGTGTTTCAAACTATTAATTTTTCAATCATTTTGTGGTTTTATGACGTCAGCAAATTCGAGAACGCGGCTGTAAGAGTTTATAACGCATCAATATATCTATTTTAAAAATAAAATAAGATTTATTGGAAAATCTGATGTGATAAATATTATATGACAAAACAGCTATAAAATCTATCACTACTTTATACTTTTCTCGCCCATAAAACATTCCACAAATTCCGTCAATTTCATAAAACAGTTCAAATCTCTGGACTTTCCGCGAAAAATTTGAATTGTCTCCAGAGTCCAGTAACATGCGCACTCCGTCCTGTAAAACACGGAATGAACAGAAAGGAACAAAATTTTGATACCGCATACTTCTCCTACGAGAAAATTGTTAGGCTGTTTACAAGACCGCGTGGCGTTGAATATCAAAACTACTTTTTACGCGCCTTCACACTCTTCATACAATGCAAAATATCCTGACTACGCCCGATTCACAATACACTAAACTTCACGGTCCGCTTTTGTCGTTGTATTCAGGTCGTCGTTCTTTGTTATAAGATACGGTTGATCAGAAACATGCGTGTTATTTCGAAAAATTGGCTTCAGATTGTTTGAAACACGTTTTGTTTCCAAAAGTTTGCCGGAAAGTTCAGAGAGGTTATGTTTGTGCTGTGTGAAACCGTCGTCAGGGTTCGAAATTTTTCCGCCAGGCGGTCAATGTAAATATTTGACATTCCAAACATACCAAACTTACAGGTTCGACGAAAATGTCAAATTCTTTTAACAGTTTTACTTGTTCGTGATTTGCAAAGTAAAAAAGTGCAATCAAAGTGATCTGACCAGTTACCGTTTACAAAAACCAGTGTTCCTATCGGGGTGGATAAAAAAGGTAAGCTTTTCACCACCCAAGAGGGTTGATATAGCACGTGACCGGGGTGTTATTGATTTTTTATTATTCCTGGGTTGAGTAGTTTTAAAAAATCGAGGGTGGCCGGGTTTCGGTAGCTTTTATTCCAACGCTAGTGTGCTGTGCATATAAAAGTTCTTTTGAGTTTTGAGGCAGTTTGGAGGTGGAATATTCGAAAACACGGTTAACATTGACCGTGCAGCGGGGATATTGCCAAAACAGTAAGTGAGATTTCATTTTACGCGATGACCTACAACTTCTTGCAGACAATTGTTTCACTGGAATTCCAAACATTTGATAATTGGGGTCACACTTTTTGTGTAATCTATTATATTTCCTACTGTACGTGATATGTTCGTCTGCATTCCGCAATTTTATCTCGATGCCTACAAGCTAGCGGCCAGTCTTCGGTGTCTCCCACATAGAATTTTATTATTTGTACGTCATCCTAAATTGATTTTTCTGAAGAAGAATGCGGCACAGCTTCGGTAAACAAAAGGCAACGATGTGTATTGCTTGCGAGCTTGCGACCCGCATTCGGTATTCTTTACCGGACAGGACCGAAATAAGGCTTCTGGATCAGTTAAAAAAATATAAATATTCTAGGGAATTTTTATGGAAAATATGAGAGTTATACCAAACTAAGTAGTGGAACTATACGTGACCATACTAAGTAATCTAATTGTTGTGAATTTATATGTATATGAGTTAAAATTCCTGGGTATAGTTTCCATTTATTTTGCGATTATCTCTGATTATTTAGTGATTCACTGGGGTGAGCTCAGTTTTAAAGTTGGCTGTACTGAGAACACATCAATTTCGGGTTTTCCCTGAAGATTGATGATTAATATTGAAGTCATAAAATACAAAAACCTTGAACTTGCAGTATTATGCATATGTTAGGATGGGGCTTGAATATGTATATCTGATATGGAATCTGCACCACATTACTCACATAAGTAGGCTAGAGTATGCTCAAAGACATTTCCTAAAATATATATCATCTTCAGGCAGCTATCATTTGATGCACCAAGGCTAACATCTACCCATGGCACGCACAAATTATTTTACATTATTCTCCAATGTACATTATGTGTAGAAATTACAACAACATGAGTACCCAGCTTGACATATTTAACTGTATCATTGCTCATTGATGGTCCCAGAATTTATCTTCTGCTAGATTTCAATCTGTGGGGGGGGGCTGGTGGTTGGAGGGTGGGTTGACATATTAGGTATCTTAAGATTTGTCTGGAGGACATTGTATGTGACATTGCATATACTAAATTTTGATATAATTAAAATGGAGGATTTTAATGAAAAATTACAATGTTGAAACTTCTATCACACAGGCTACAGCCTGATCGAATTTGACATTTGAGGTGTCTTTAGATTCGTTCATGATAGCATAATTGATTATACTTTTCAATTCACTGCAGTTGGATTGTTTGTATTTTTTAAAAATGTACATTTCTCTTTTTGCATTTATATGTACAGGGTTTGTCCAGAAAGTAACAGGACTGAGTCGATTTAAAAAAATTTATTGAGCCAATCGTTCCAATTCTTTAAAAACTTTCAAAATAGGCTCCTTCTGCGTCGATGCAGCGCTGCCAGCGCTATTTCTAAGCATTGAAGGTGTCACGGAAGGCATTCTCCGGAATTGCCTTGAGAGCCGCGGTGCATGCTGCGTGGATCCCCTCTGTCGTCTCAAAATGCTTGCCTTTCATCGGCCTTTTCAGGCGAGGAAACAAAAAAAGTCCGGGGGGGCCACATCTGGGCTGTAGGGCGGCTGCGGAAGCGTTGGGATGCCGGCCTTGGTCAGGTAGCTGTTCACAAGAAAGGCGGTGTGAGCCGGGGCGTTGTCGTGGTGCAACTTCCAGTCGGCTGCGATGTCTTGTCGGACCCGACTGACCCTTCGTTTGAGTCTCCTGAGCACTTCCACGTAAAACTTGGCGTTGACGGTTTGTCCAGAAGGAACAAATTCATGGTGGACGATGCCTTTGATGTCAAAAAAGACAATGAGCATCGTTTTCACTTTGGATTTGCTGATTCTTCCCTTTTTTGGGCGAGGAGACGCCGTCGTGTGCCACTCGGAAGATTGCCTCTTTGTCTTGGGATCATACTCAAAGATCCACGACTCGTCACCTGTGATTACGTTATTCAAAAATTGGGGCTCACTTTCACACATGTTCAAATTTTCTTGGCACACTTCCACTCGCCGCATTTTCTGGTCGTCAGTGAGCACTTTTGGGACCATCTTCGCGCACACCTTGCGCATGTTCAAATGCTGTGTCACAATGTCATGAACCACAGATTTTGATAAAATTAACATCTGGGCAATTAAACGAATGTTGTCTTGCATCACCCTGTAATTGGTGTTTACTGTTATGTGATGTAATAAACAAAATTAAAAAAACACAGCATAAATATATCTAATTTTGATTGTTTGACCTCCAACTACGCTAGCACCACCTAGCAGAAGCAAAATTGTACTATGCTGTCATTTAAAGAAAATCTGACTCTTGTTTACTGCATTTCATTTTAAATATTGATAGCTACGATCCATAGATACTTTCGAGATTTTTGCGAGATTAGCCAAAAATACTTCAGAAAAACGTAAGCTATCCGAATAACTAGCCCTTGATCTGAGACGTTCAGGAAATTCATTTCCTTATAGCAGCTGTACCCAATCAAATAAATTTGCGAATAAATTGTAATACCCGTTTTACATCAACACTTTCTTCACGAATTTATTCAAATGGATTTCTTCTAGGTCATCCTGATTACGTTTCGCGGTGTTTACATCAATGGACAATACATCCTGCTGCTAACCACATAACAAACTCTTGCTACAATCATTTCGAGTCTTTATATGTATTGTGGTTTTGATTTTGAGGCAAATCTCATAAAAAGAAACCATATTGTTGAATACTGTAGTTCTAGCTGTTCTATAATTGAATTGAAAAGGTGTTCAATATAATGGACAGGAAAACAAGGTTGGGCCCCATGGAGTTTGACATCTAACTTGGCGACAAGTTCTAATTTCGTGAAGAAATCCACGAGGAACGGATTTATTTGACGTTAAATTCCTGTTTTGCAAATTTGATTATGAACTGAATTCATGGAATTGCCAATGTAAAACAGGTTTAACAAACATTGATGAATTTCTTCAAAGTAACAGCGAAATGACATGATCAAATTTATTCAAGTCAAGCATACCAACACATATAGTAACTTCCTATGATACCAACCTCAGGGAAAAATATCAAAACATAACCTATGTATAATGAACCTAATTAATAAAAAGATGATCGTGTATACTTTATCTGAAGTCACTTGAAATAGCATAAAAACCTTTGGTCGGCGCATCCTTTGTAATTTCATGACGTATCATAGGCGTGCGGTGATTTATTTAGAACGATAATAATAATGTTTTAATATCACAATAAATGGATTTTACTATCTTCTTATTTTTTTGATTTGGGATAAAAAATACTTATATTCGGAGTTTAATTTATGTTGACTGAAAGTTAAGAAATGGAAAAATTACAGAATTCCAACGTTTGACTTAGGCAAATATTTACATAGCAGGTAGGTATATAAAAAGGTATATAAAGACTTACATTATAGGTATTTATATATCATCCTCGCCTTCGGAGCTGTCGCTAGAGTCATCTTGTAGAGGAATTACAACGGGATTTACAGGAGGCAAAACACAATATTCATTTTCTTTTTCAATAATATGCCTAGAGCACTGCTTCCATAGGTCTGTGGCAGCAATATGAGATACTGCATCTCTTATTGTGGCCAATAGCGATTCACTTAATTGAGGGGTCTGATTATGTTTTCTTACTTTTTTTTTAAAGCAGCCCAGACCAACTCAATCGGGTTAAAAATGCAGTAATAGGGAGGTAGACGTAATACTTCATGGCCATTTTGCTGAAGCAGATTGTCAACAACATACTCTTTTTCAAATTTTTTTCTTTTAATAAGATCCAATAATATGGCTTTGGTTGATTTTTGTGGTATTTCCATTCCCTTATCCTTCATAAAATCAATAATGTCTTGTTTTTTTGTGCCTGTATTCGGAATTTTGTTTTTCTGTCGGGAATGGTATGGCGCATTGTCCATAATAATCACTGAATTTGAGGAAATGTTTGGTATTAACTGCTGCTCTATCCACTTTTCAAATAAGTCGGAGGTCATGTCCTCATGATAGTCGGCACATGATTCTTTGATATTTTTGGCAGATAACAGCAAGGCATTAGGTATAAATCCATTTTCACTGCCAGCATGGAGAATAATGATTCGTTTTCCACGGTTTCATGGTGCATTTAAAATGCACTTGTTGCTGTCGTCAACCCAGCCGTACTGCACAACATCATGGGTATTATACCACGTTTCATCCAGGTAAATCAGATTTCTTTTCTGCTCTCTATAGATTTTAACTTTGTGCAAAAATTCTTGGCGCAATTCAACGATTCGAGACGACTCCATAATCACCATTCTTTTATCTAATTTTTTGTATTGAAAACCACACAGTTTTACAATACAGTGCAGTGAGTCTAAGCATTTGTAATTATAAAAATCTTCAGGATAATCTTTTAATTTATCCCGTATCATTTCCAACGTGGGCACCAAATTTTCTTTATAAAATCCGTATATTATACGACGAATATCTTCCTGAAAACCCACGTCTATTCTTTTTAATTTTTGCCCTATGCGCTTTCTGTGGAAGGAATGGTTGACTACATCTCCCCTTTTTATAACCTGATAAATGGTAGACCGACTGATTTTTGTCAGGATACAAATTCTGTTTAAAATTTGATTTTGCGAGGAATCTGGATTTTCGTTTTTCAGACAATCATACATATTTAGGATTACTCTTTGGGTCTGTTCCTCTAAATCTTAATGAAATAATTCTGCCTGCACAGGTTCATCAACCATTTCCTCGTGGCTTGGATCATTTTCCCAAGGTCTCC